GCTAAGAGGGAGGGGAGGGAGAAAAGCCAGCGCTGGGTTTTGCACAGGCCGTCTGCCTCCACCCCACAGCCCAGAGGTGGACCCCGTCAGTATTCCCCTGCCTCAAGAGAAGTTAAAGGCCTCGTGGGGTTAAATAGTGTGCTGAGATCACACACTCATCTGGACACCAGGCGGCCTGGATCCAGAGCCGACACCCATGGTCACAGGCTATGTGCACCTTTCACTCACAAATGCGGCTTCCTCGATATCTGGGCGAAAGAACTCAACAAGGGCCTGCCTTAAAATGAAACGCAGGGCTGCCTCAAAGGACCCAGGTGCTGCTGCAGGGTCTGTGGGGAAGCCAGCACCCCATTTTCTATATTGCCCCCACAGGCCTCCCAGTGATGTCCGCTCCAGTATCGGTTCTGCTCCCAGAGCGCCCAGCAAGCTGGCTTCCTCTTTCCAAGTCTGGCCCGACATGAAGAAAGACCTCAGGCGTTTGCCACCTACCCCTCCCATTTTTCTACTTCCCCAAACTCACCCCCTGGTCCCTCCAACGGCTTCTCTGGGGATGGAGACAGGACAGGATGTCCTGCTTGGACCCTCTCTGACTTCAGAGACCACGACGCTGGACACGCGCTCACTGCCAGTCCTCTGTGTGTTCTGTCCACCATGTGGATGCCACGCCACCTGGCAGGAACTGCCTCTGAGGAGACGCCAACTCGGCCTAGACTTTGGTCTTTCAAAGTTGAAAACCAAAGAGCTAGTTAAAAACAGCTGTCACTCTGTCCTCCACCTGGCCCGAGGAGGCACCTGGCCCGAGGAGGCACACCTGGGCCAAGGAGGCACTTGGACTGGACGCACACCTAGGCCGAGGCGGCACACCTGGGCCGAGGAGGCACCTGGGCAGGACACACACCCGGGAGGTCAGCCTGCACATCATGGCGCTCCGGGAGCAACAGCTCCTCCTTCAGAGGAAAGCCACTGAGCTGCCTAAAGGACCCCATGGAATAAGAATTACAAATAAAGACGCACAGCAGGGAGTGCTCCCTCCAGGCCCACCCGCCTTCCTGACCTCGTTTTGACGCCCCCCCTTGTCCGAAACCCTCCTTCACACCAGCATCTCGGACGCTGCACTCGGAAGAGGAAGCTGCACTGCAGATGGCTGGCGAAAATCCTGATGCACAGCCTCCCGGAGAGGGAGCCTTGGGCGCAGGAGACTCAGAAACCCCAAGTTACGGTTTCCACAGCAACAGCCACTTGCTCCTCCTGCCTGCATACTGAGATTTTTCTTTTTTAAAACATCGTCATTCTCCAGGCTCCAGGCGAAACATGTGGCGTGAGAATGACTGCAGCTGTGCTTCTGGAGGGCGGTTGTGTTCCTGGCCTAATTTTCTGTGCAGGCCTCCACTCTTTGAAATGGAAGGATGCTGGGAGCCAGGTGCATCAGCGTCTGCAGGAATGCTGTTTGGTTCCTCTGCTTTGCCTGGCCCTGCCGAGCAGGAAGTCAGCACTGGCTAAGTGTTAACATGTTTTCAGGACCAGGACCACAGCTGGCTGTCGGGTAATAAAACCGGCAGCACAACCTCTGCTGTCATCTAGCCCAGGGGAGTGGAGGAGGAAAAGGCGGCCGCTGCCTTGTGTCCTAAATCTTTTCAACTACTCTAGGATATGCCTTTCCAAATTCATCATATGTGGAATACAAACGCCAATTCCGAGAAGGCAGAACTGCAAGGAAGGGCATGGGCCCCTTGGCAAAGGATGAGTTTCCACGTAACCTCGCTAAAAGTTAACACGCCTATGTTGCCACATCGACACCAGCTGACAGAGCTGTCAGATATAAACAACTCAGGAGGCTTGTCTGGGTGGTGTGGGCTTTCTGGACACACACCTATTTCTCATGGGATCAATAACTTAAAAAACGTAGCCACTGTTTACGCAAACAAGCAGCTGAAAGAGGAAAATGCGTGTGTCTGCACCAGGCATGGCCACTCACCAGGGCAGGTGGGTCAGGGATTTCTCTGAAAGCAGGTTGGCTTCTAGCACTCAGCTTGTCCTTGAGAACGTGCAGGTAGAGACTGAAGGAGAAACAGACCCAGCTGCAGCCCAGCCCACAGGCCTGACCCAGCCCGCAGGCCTGACCTAGCCCAGCCTGCAGCATGACTGTGGACAGGAGCTGACGGCAGGATTTCTGGGGCAGGAATCGAAATGACTCTGAGCCTCGCAGTCATGATATTTCACAACCCAGCTCTGGGGCATCTGCCTGGCAGAGGAGGTTGCTTATGGCAGAATGTCCTCCCCTCCGCAGAGCGGACTTTAACAGGGACACCAAGGGGAGAGGTCTCTAGGGGGAACTTCTCCTGGACACCGTTAGGTGCCATTGAGTCAGTTCTAATTGTAAGCCCATGCACAACAGAACAAAATGCTACCCAGTCCTGCACCATCCTCACAATCATTGCTATGTTTGAGCCCACTGTTGCAGCCCCTGTGTCAGTCCATCTCTTTGAGGGTCTTCCACTTTTTTGCTGATCCCCCACTAAACATGATGTCCTTCTCTAGGGACTGATGACATGTCCAGAGTAAGTGAGGTGAAGTCTTGCCATCCTCGCTTCTAAGGAGCATTCTGGCTGTACTTCCTCCAAGACAGATTTGTTTGTTCTTCTGGCGGTCCATGGTATATTCAATATTCTTCTTCGCCAACACCATAATTAAAAGGCATCAATTCATTTCTGGTCTTCCTTATTCACTGTCTAGTTTTTGCATGCATATGAGGCCATTAAAACTACCATGGCTTGGGGGGTCAGGCATACCTTAGTCCTCAAAGTGACATTTTTGCTTTTTAAAGATTTTAAAGGGGTCTTTTGCAGCAGATTTGCCCAATGCAGTATGTTGTTTGATTTCTTGACTGCTGCTTCCATGGGCGTTGACCGTGGATCCAAGCAGAATGAAATCATCGATAACTTCAATATTCACCATAGTGTTTATCATGATGTTACTTACTGGTCCAGTTGTGAGGATTTTTGTTTTCTTTATGTTGAAGTGTAATCCATACCGAAGGCTGTAGTCTTTGATCTTCATCAGTAAGTGCTTCAAGTCCTCTTCACTTTTAGCAAGTAAAGCTGTGTCATCTGCATATCACGGGTTATTAATAAGTCTTCCTCCAATCCTGATGCTGAGTTCTTCTTCAGAGAGTCCAGCCTCTGGCATTATTTGCTCAGCATACAGACTGAATAACTATGATGAAAGGATACAACCCTGATGCACACCTTTTCCAACTGTAAACCACGCCATGTCCTCTTGTTCTGTTCAAAGGACTGCCTTTTGGTTGCAACATGTAAGGGGATATAAAACCAGCCAGCAGCAGGCAAAAAGGCTAGGGAAGTCCCCATCTTTGCACGTGGCTTTGTACGCACTATGCTCCACTAGAGAAGCTGAAAGAGGAACTGACCTGGAGAAGGAAGGGAATGACTCCAGTGAAGATGCCATGGCGGAGGGGGGGGGGAGTGCGTAACTTGGTGTCTAAGACACCACACACACAGCGTGTCCGTACCTGAGCGCCTGACTGAGTCTCCTCACCCCCAACCTCTCCACCAGCAGCCTTCCTCAGTTCAATGGATGGCAATTCCACCCTTTCCGATTCCAACTCGCGGCAACCTCATGTGCTCAGAGTAGAACTGCTCCATAGGGTTTTCAAGGCTTTGACCTCTTGGAAGCAGATTGCCAGGCCTTTCTTTTGTGGCGCCTCTGGGTGGGTACAAACCACCAACCTAGCAGTCGAGTGCTTAACTGTTTGTGCTACCCAAGGACTCCCCAAAAAGTGTTAGGTCATCCTCGGCACCTCCCTGTCCTGCTCACCCCACATCCAATTCAAGGACAGACATAGTTAACTCGTTTCAAAACACGTCTGGAATGCAGCCATTGTCTGCACCACCCCACCCCAGCCGCACCACCCCACCCTGGCCGAGGCCACAGCGGCCCTGCCCGCTCTACCACCAAGAGCATCCCACCAGCTCTCCTGGCTTCCCTACAGCCAACCTTCCACCCGGCTGCCAGAGCAACTCTATCAAAACACAACTGAGACCAGGCCTGTGTTCCACTTGCAACCCCCAGCAGCTCCCAATTTCAGAGTAAAAGGCGCATTCCTTCGACAGCTGACGAGGCCCTGTGACCCGTGTGAACGCATCACACAACTCCTGCTGCTGCAGTCACCCCTGCGTGCTCTGCTGGAGGCCCCTGCTGGAGGCTCTTCCTCAGTTATCTGCACGGCTACTCCCTCCCCAGGTCTCTGCGAGAGGGCCCTCCCCCTACCAATCACCCTACTCAACAGGGGGGCCTGCCCTTGCCCGAGACCCCTCCCCCAGCTCTTTTTGTGTGTGTTTATCACTTTCTTCCATTCCCGACCATTTACTGAGTGTCTGCTGACTGCTGCCACCCTGGTAAGAGTGTAGGCTTCCAGAGGGCGTGTCCCAAACACCCAGGGCAGGGCCCAGCCCACCAGACCACAGATCTGCTGAATGGACCAGTCACTGTCTAGACTTTCATACTTTGAACAGCACACCAGGCAACGTGACAATGTCCCTGTGAGATTAAAGCATCAAACTGATGGATGAGCTAGCCCGTCAGCCCTCAACATAACCATGTAGGTGTTGGGAAAAAGCCGCAGGTCTGATTCATGTGCTGAATCACAAGACATGCCATGAAGATGACATGCTTCACGGAGAACCAACCCGGAACCACCCAGCCCCGCGTTTCTGCAGACAAGGGCTGGCTCGGAGGTGCCGCAGCAAACATTCTGCCGCCTTCCCCCAGGTCAGCAGGGGCACCAGCTTCTCACTGGCTGACTTGTGGGGTGCTCATGACCACAAAACACCAGTGTCTGCGCTAAGGACAAAGGGGCCCTAGGCCTCTGTCCACCTCCCCTCTGCGGTTCAACTGGGTGATGGGGGCAAAAATATCTATTTTTAGTGACTGCCTTCATCTGCGTCTTAAATACAAGTATTAGGAGACAATGAGAGTTTTTACTGAGAAAAAGTGAACTTTTAATTATCTTGGAATCTACTTAGAAAAACACACACAAGCAATGTTCACAACTATAAATTTAAACCTTTTGCACTAAAAAAACCACGGAACAACAAACACAAAACCACAGTCATGAACTGTAAACCTGTAAAACCTGTATTAATTATCAACAAGGCTTAAGGTTAATGCGTAGTAGTAATTCAGTATTTTCCTCCTTGGCAATTTTAATGTTTTAGCACCAAATGATCTCCTGCAGAGGGCGTAAGGAGTGGCTCCCAAGCGCGCTCCCCAGCACGCCTGTCCACGCTCACCCGTGGACAGGAGGCGCGGTGGGACGGAGACCAGACAAGGGCGGTGTGTCACACGTCTTTAATGTAGTGCACGGATAGAAAAAAGGCCAGCTCTCGCTCCCGGGCGTGCGCTCATTCTCAGACTTTAATATCATGATTTAGAAGATGCAGACGTTATTGCCTAAATATCGCTCTAGATATTTCTCAGTGTTCAGGAGAACACCTGACACTGCTACTGAATTTACACGGAAATTACCGGGCTACAGCTTCAGCTCGTTGGCAACTTTGGAGGCGATGTTCTTGAAAGCCATGGATGTCCCCGATATCCGCTTGAACCGGACCCCATTGAGGGACAGCCTGGGCAGCTTGCACACCTCCATCTCCCACTGCACCAGGCTCTCGGCGTGCCCGTCGCCGTGGACACAGAAGAGCAGGAAGCGCTCCCGCTGCTCGTAGTCACAGTTGTTGGCGTCCAGGACTTTGCGGATCTCCCGCATCATGTCACTGGGGTCCATGGAACTAGTGGTTTTCATGCTCCAGGTAAAGCGCAGCGAGCGGGGCTTGGCTTCTTTGTTCTCATCCTTCTGCTCGGCAGATACATTGCGACTGGAATGCACAAGGGAGGGTTATTTTTAGGCACACAGAAAGTCAACCTTTGCTACTTTAGCTAGTGCAGCAACACCGCCACACAGCACCCCTGGGAGCCTGCTCCTTTGCTAAGCAGCAGCATTCCTCCACTTTCTTTTCCCCCCAAAACCGGAAATCACGCTTACAAAACTCTGCCTGGCTGGGAAATCTTCATCAGCCATTCTGTACTTACTAAAATTAAGAAAATAATTTGTTAATCAGAATCTTTGAAAATCAGGGAAAACAGGGATCAAGCCTCGTCTAGGGGGCGGAGTGCAGACAGGCCCAGCGCAGGCCCAGCCTGGAGGCCGCTGGCGGTTCATTCACGCGGGAGGAGCTGGGCGGGAGGGCACAACAGACCTCCCCTGCTCTGGGTGCCCGGCTACTTCTCTTCCAGCACGGTTTTTCTTTTTAATTCATTACAACCTACACTGTACCTGTGACCACAACATGCGTGGTTTAAAACCACTCGCCCTGCACGCGGCAGGTGGAGCTGCCGCCGGGCGCACAGCAGCAGCACGGGTGCAGGTCACCCCTCCGGCCACCCTCACTCACCCTGCCTGGTGGTTTCTCTTCTCTGCTTTGTTTATTTAAACTTCCAATTTCACAGGCTAAAAAAAGTTTCCCAGCTGGCGTTTATCTTACTACTAAAACAGTGAAGACGAGAGGTCAAATTCCCTGCTTGCTGAGGCTGTAACGCGCATGATTTACGGGGTGCAGGCCGGTGTCCAGTTCTCATGGAGCCGTGTCCCAGTCGGGAGCTCAGGAGCACAGCATCTATAGCTTACCGACAGCAGGCATTTCATCATCACTGCCACAAACCTCTGTTTAGGTTCTCATGCATGTATCTGGATGCCTCAGTGGGGACTGTGCTACCTACACTCTTCTGCATTGTTAACATCAATCCTATGGCAAAACCACCCCGAGGGTGAGCTGACGGTGGGCCACAGCGCTTACCTGTGCACATGCTCTCCCTGTCCCAGCCTGCTAGGAGAATACTCAATTTGGTTCTGCCCACCAGAATTGACTGGAAGCTTCCTATGTACAAAGTGCTGCGTAAGATATCACGCAGGTTACAGAATTGGCCCAAGCCCTCACAGCTGAGGTGGGGTCCAGCAGACTGTAAGGAGATGTGGTAGCTCAGGAAAGGTACAAGCTCTGCGCTGGAGGGCCCCAGGGAGGGAGAGGTGGAGGCCACCTGGGGCAGGTGGGAATAACGCACAGGACGGTGAGGACATGGCTTCCTGGAGGGGCGGGACCCGAGACAGGCGGTTTCAACAACACATGACCTTTTGAGTAGAGGGAAAAGAACATTCAAAGGCAAGGGGCAGACTGCAGGGGAAGGCTCAGGGCTCCTTGGGATGCACATGAGTGCCACGGGGCATGGCCTCTGCACCATGGGAGTCCCAGTGCCAGGCACTTACCTGTCCTGACACATCTTAGTCCTCACAGGACCGGAGGTTGGCCCCACTGTTAGCTGGGTTGGGAGTGGCAGGAGCGGGCTGTGGCTGCTGGGCCACAGGCACTGTGCCGGTGGGGCCACGTGCACTGTGCCGGCAGGGCCCCGGGCACAGACGAGGCCTGTCAGGCAGCTGGCACTGAGGGTTCATTCAGAAGGGCAGTGTGAGCAGAACCGTGCTTTAGAAAGACCGGGGAGAGTGCAAATGGGTTCAGGAGGGCCTAGCACAGCGCAGCGGCGACCAGCGTGAAGGGGGCCCAAGTGGATGAGACCTAGAACTGTGGGAAACACTGAGCCCTCAAGCCTATGTGGTCACCCCTAAGCCCACGTGGGGACAGCTACACAACAGTTAAAAACAAAACATTAATTGTATAATCACCACTCTTAAAAAAAAAAACACATCTAACTTGAAATATGAAATCTGTACTAGCATCTGGCTGCCCTCCTTGAGAAGAGAGCCGTGCTGGGCGTCAGCGCTGAGCCAGGGCTTCCTCCTATGTCCTCCAACTCACAGACGGGGCTCCGGGCCATGAGCAGCCGCGGCACGCTGGCGCCCTCATGTGGCCAATGGGGAGCCCCACTGCCCTGGCCGCTCTCCACAGCGCTGACCCTACGGAGCAACCCTGCACCCAGAGCTGGGGTGTGATGCACAGCACTCAGAAAACAGGGTCGCCTGTGCCACAGAAATGAGGTAAATACGTGAAAATATTTTAAATAAAAATCATTCCCTCACCTTGAGCCCTCATATCTCCCGTTCCTCTCATATTCAGTTGGAAGCCTCAATGAAAAGAATGTAGAAGTGGGAAAGAGAAAAGAAATCTTACATACCAGTACATGACTAGCCACATACAAACACACAAACATCATCAATCAACAAATTAACGCACTTTTTGGTCACCAGGTGGCTGACTCTCGGGCCTCCAGCACAGTGTCTGATTTCAACTGCCCTCCCGCCAGGCCGTCATCCTGAGCTCGGCAGGCTGCAGGTATACTCGGCCTTTTTAACCACTCCCCACCTTGTGACAGGTTTCCAATGAAAAGGAAATGAGCCTATAAGTTGAATTCTACATTCAATTACATTTTCTTTTCAAGGAGAAATCTGGCAACTGGGGAGATCCATCACACCCGCCAGACACGGTGCCCTGGCCTCTGAGGACCAGGGAGAGGCACAGGGTACTCTGCGGCCTCCCATGGCGGGTTTTCTTCCTCATAAGGGTGAATCCAAGACAGAGCAACATTTGTGCTTCCTGGACTGTCAGCATCAAAAATACTCATCTGTTCCCAATAATGTTTCCCACAACAGTTCAGGTAAAAATAACAAGGCCCGCTCTCTTCCGTGGCTGGTGAAAGTGACTTTCAGATAGAATGCTTTTACTGTTTGCTCTTCAACCCTCTGAAAATATTAGAACACCTCTGCTACGGCAGCTGTCCGCATCTTAATTTCTGAAAACACCACAGGGTTGAATTTTGTCTTGTTTCCAGTACCAGAAACCACCTCCCTGTCATTTGAAAGCCCTTGGCTAATTCATCCTCAGTGAAATAAACGACCCAGGTGAGGACCACTTACCTTCTGCATGCTGGGGCTAAGCATTCACTGTACACATGTTACTGAACATCTCATTCTTCAAACAGTAGCATGCTACGTGTTATTAGTATGGAGACAGAATTACGTGGATGCTAAATGATTCTACCACAGATAGAAAATGCACAGAGCATGCGCAGGCCTGGGTAACACGGCACCATCCCTCTTAAATGCCTGACAGAGTTAATGGATTTCTCTCCACAGTTTTTCTTACAAAGAAATAAGTATTTAGTTCTCAGCAGAAAGTTTAGTTTTTAAGGAAAAAACAGGGCTAGAAAGCCAAACCTGATGTTAATTGCAGGAGCCATTTGGGGGTGAGGATTGAAAAAAAAAAAAATGTGCACGTATAAATCCTACCTTTTGATAAACCTGAATGACATGTTTCTAAAAGAAATTAAGCCAAAAAAAAAAAAAAATTAACAAAAATGACTTGCACAAATTAAATAAAAAATACAGTCAATTATAGAAAGAAAGCAAAAGAACAAATAAAACAGGGCTCCTTTTCTGGCCAATAAACAATGACATTTCAACAAATGGTGACATTTGCTGAAAAGTAAATATTAGGTAATTAAATGAGTATATGATCTTTTAAGTAGAAATGTGAAAAAATCTGTACTTCTAAGAAAAAATTTAACAGTAAATATTGACATTAGCTGTAGAGTAATTAAATAGATTCTTCAGAACCAGACATAAACCAAAAAACCAAATCTGCTGCCATTGAGTGGATTCCAACTCATAGTGGCCCTACAGCATAGGGTAGAACTGCCCCATAGGGTTTCCAAGGCTGTAATCTTTACAGGAGCAGACTGCCACATCGTTCTCCTGCGGAGCGGCTGGTGGGTTTGAACTGCTGACCTTTGGTTAGCAGCTGAGCGCTTAACCAGTGCACCACCAGAGCTCCTAGAACTAGATAAACTTTTAGATAATGGAATTCAACATCTTATGTTGAAGAAATGAGGTTCGAAAATTCATTTGCAATGCACTAGTGATAAAATAATCAAATCTCTTTAGAATATTTCATAGACAAAAACTTCACCTTGTTATACAGACATTAAAAATCTCATTACAAAACATTTAACCATTAAGAGAATCATTACTTATTTCAGGAAGATAATTTAAACAGTAACAGCATGTTTGTTATAGTAGTACTAATATAAATCATTTTTTAAGAAAAAATAAGTTATTTGGTTTTTTAAACTGAAGTACTTTTAAGAGTCTTAGATATCAAATGTAATGAAAATTAAATGACAAGACAACAGGGTGGGTTTGATTCTTATGTTTTATGCAATAAACTGGAAGAACTGTATTTAAAAGAGGTGACTCTGCTCGTTAAGGAAATTTAAGGGGATGCTTGGGTTGTGCTGAAGAATCTGATCATGTGATCGCTTCCCTGGGCAGGATGGGCTGGGCTGGTTCACTTCTGTGTCCCTGAAGTCCAGCTCTGGAGCCAGACACATAGGCCCTCAACACAAATCTGCTGAATGACTAACAAACTCATGAGCTCCTTGGCTTTCCCCCTAATTTAGAATAACTTTGACATTGCTTCAGATATTAAGTAACCAATTTAAAAAATGTATAAATACCGTAAGTAATTGTTAACTACAAGTATAATCATATGTATTTCATAATCATATACTGTATTTGAGCCCTGGTGGTGTGGTGGTTAAAGTGCATGGCTGCTAACCAACAGGTCGCTGTTCGAACCCACCAGCCACTCCACAGGAGAAAGATGTGGCAGTCAGCTTCTATAAAGATGACAGCCTTGGAAATCCTATGGAGCAGTTCTACTCTGTCCTACAGGGTCGCTAAGAGTTGCAATTGACTGGACAGCAGAGGGTTATACCGTATTTTTATGCAAACATTGTACACCCTCTGCGTTTGTTGGCCACGCCCCCCCACTCCCCTTCGAGGGACCCTCACAAGTGCCACCATGCCAATCCTCTTCCACATGATGCTGTAGAAAATAAGCACAGCACACTTATGAACATACCTCTTGAAGGGAGGGCGCCGCTGGTAAACGCAGAAAGTGTGTGTTATTTGCATAAGAAATAGTGAACCACATGTACAGAAAGATAAAAAGTGGTACACAGCAAGGCTATATACCTTAAGACTGTGCACATGAAAATATTTTGTAAATAATTAAACACTACATAAATACAAAGTGGCATTATTCAAAAGATTATTTTAGTTGAAAAATGATTGTTGTTAGTTGCTGTCCAGTCGGCTGAGACTCACGGTGACCCCTTGTGTGCAGACTAGAACTACTCCATAGGGTTCTTAAGGCTGTGACCTTTCAGAAGGAGATGGCCAGGCCCGTCTTCTGAGGCACCTCTGGGTGGTTCGAACCACCCACCTTTCAGCTAGTAGCTGAGCGCTTAACTGTCTGCACAAACGTATTCTGACTTCATCTGCTGCCCTGGCAGAGGGCAGGGCTCGGGGCCAAGCACTGGAAGACAGCCTTCCTTCCCTTCTCCTCCCTGGGGCTCTCGGAGGCAGACAGTGGACGCGACAGAGGAAGGCCTCCGCATCCGGCCATGAGGACCAATGTGAGGTGCCCAGGTGCCCCAAGCCTGAACCTGTGATTGGTGATTCCACCTGTGGGAGGCTCATTTCCTCATGCTGGCCCTCCTCCCACCAAGCCTCAGCACCTTAGCCTTCTGGCACTTTTATCCTAGAATCAGTGCTAGGGGAGGTGCTAACAGCAAGGACTGTGGTTGTTTTTAACAAAGCACTGCCTGCAACGGAAGCACAGCATCACGGGAGACCAGAGACCTCAGTATGCAAACTCTAGCAAACAGCAGAGACCATCTTCCTGCAATAACTTGGGCACACTTTTACCTGGAGATTGTGAAATAAAAAGACCCCTAGAATTTTTTTTTTTTTTTAACAAGAAACCTCAGTCTCCAATTTCCACTCAAATACATGAAATAAACATAATCAGGAAACGAGGGAAAAGGACCCAGTCTGCAACCAGCCTTTGTGGGGTTTTCTGTGGGAAGCACTGTGTAATGCTCATGGGGGGTGTGGTACGGGCCCCCAGAGGGAGCATGGGTGGTCCTCACGGCCTTGGAGGCAGACAGGCTGGCTCAGCCCTGTTTCAGATGCAGGATCTCAAATCTGTCTGAACCTCCTCTTGGTTTCTTCATCTCTAGAACGGGATAACGTTTACTCCACAGGGTAGGTTGTGGAGATTAAATGCATACAGTAAGCATTCAGTAAGTGGTAGGTGATGTTATTTTATCAATGATTGTATTAAGATGACCAAAAATGAGCACAAAGGAGACAGTTAAATAACTTCTGGGATTTAAATTATGTCTGAGGTTTTATTATCGAGCCCATTGCAGACCAGCGTGTAGGGACAGGCAGCACTTGGGGTCACAGGGAAAGAGGGGGACCTGCTCGGGGAGGCATCTTATCCCACCCAAGTTTCAGAGGCAGGTTCCATTTCAGCCTAGTCCCTGAGGAAAGAGCGAGGGACAGGCGGGGGGGCGACCCTGAAAGGGGTAACTTAGGGTTACCCTGGGATCATCAGACTCCTCTGGGAGTGAACTCCGTGTCTCTGGTTGGGCACGAATGGGGCCCCCAACCTGCCAAGGCCCTTGAGGCCAGTCTGCTCTTCTGCCCAGTCTGTAGTGCGGTGTCTGAGTCAAGGGGCCGAGGCGAGAACATGAGGGGACCGAAAGCTTGTGAATCGGCTGGCCTCCACTCAGTGCTAAGGGACATCAGAAGTCCTCCCTGACCACCTGGTAGCCAACGTCCTGACAGCAGATCATCTGGGGAAAGACTGTCTATGTGACCCACCTCCGTTTTAGACAGATAGTCCAGTACCGAATAGAAGGAGTGGAGGAGGCAGGAGGCTGCAGGGCTGCATGGAGCCCCAGGATGGGGGTGTGCTGCCCTCTAAGTGACTGCAAAGGACAGACAAGAAGATCTGCAACAGGCACAGCTCGGGGTGCCCTGACCGTGCGAACCCCCAGTTCCGCTCCACTATGCTGTGGGGACTCTTGGATCTCCTGGGTGTGGTGCAGGCTAAGGGTACCTCTCACTACTTGCTTGTGGGGTAAAGAGGTATCTTTCTTTTTCCTCCTGAAGCAGCCAACATTTCTAGGCTTTTATAACCTCCAGACTAGGTCCTGGAATTGACCCTCCTGACAAAGTTACCTCAGGGTCCTCAGAGCCTTCCAAGGCCCCAGACCACAGCCTGCACTCTATTCACACACCATCAGGTCCTAGCTTCTTCTGAGAAGAAACCAGGATTTTTCTCTCCAAAACCCTATACCACTGAAGAAAGTTGCTGCACTCTCAATTTAACTCACTGAGCCCAACAAAGAGAACTTTAGCATTTCGGCTCCACGAGGCTCCGTGCTCCGCCCCACAGTGAAGTCAGGCACCTCACCTTCCTCTGGGGGCCCACTAAGCACAGCCTCCCTCGCCCTAGGGTCTGCGACCCGGCGGTGACAGCTACTGGGACAGGCGTGTACTCAAGAGCAACTGCAGTCAAACAGTAACAGAGACCTCCCAAGGGCTGAGGACTCTGCTCTGAAGAGACTTTGCCTCTCTTCTGCCATTTCTATTCTATTCTAAAAGGTATAAAGTATGAAGTTTTAGAGAAACAACAACTCAAGAAACAGAAACTAATAGAACACGGGCCCCAGCCGAGCCCAGCACGGGCACGGCTTCCGCAGCTCCTGTCATGGGCATTTACTCTGGAACGGTCAGCACCCCGGCACTTACCTCCTTGTTAGTTTTGAAGTTAATTTACTAAAAAGATTAGTGGAGCCCCGGCTTCGAGTCTGGGACAAGGGTGTGGCTTCATGGGACAGGCTGGGTGAGGCAGGTGGACCATTATACGTGGCCGTCCGCCGCTCCCGGGGCTGGCCGTGGAAAGTGCTTCGGCTGGCAGTCCCTCTGGGGAAGCGGATGCGGTCAGGGGTGGCCGCGCTGCTAACACTGTGCGTTGAAGCAACTGGAGTGCTCTGGTCGGGAACGGCGCTGCAAGGTGAAAGAACAACACTCCCTTACGTCTTCGCTCACAAACCCCGGCTCTGTGGTGGACATGGCACATAAAACTTTACATTCACAATATGTACAGTGGAGGAGATCCGTTATAATAAATCCAGATTGGCACAGGGTGGGGGGGCAGTATTTTACAGGACTTAGGAGCAAAAGGTAAGTTGACTGGAAAGGGTTCAGAGGAACAGTGTATAATGAAACAAAGCCTCAGAGTTCAAGGGAACAGTACTACACATTTTCAAGGACAAGAAGAATGCAGGGGAATTCTATGACAAAGAAGGACTAACTCAAGCTTCTCCCCTTTGCTTCCCTCTCAAACGCTGACTTGCGGAGACATTCCCAATAGAAAAGAGGTACAGCGTATGCAGGTGTAACTGAAGAACGGGCACCTAAACAGCTACGGAAGCACACAAAAGGTAAAATAATTGCTGAAAGCAACCTGGAGGCGGGAGAGAATGTCCTGTACGCTTTGTGACGTGCACAGGCATGGACACAGGCACGGACACCAGGGGACGGAATGTGCTGAGATGAAATCACATGGAGGAAGGACACTCTGCAGACCCTGGGACAGAACCTCGGACCATCAATCCACAGCACAAAGCTCAGGGCAGCAGGTGCCCATCGGTCCCCCGAGGAAGGTGCGTTTTCTTACAGTGCCGTGACGTTATCTCCTTCACTGTCTACTGGAGGTACCACCATTGTGGGGTGCCCAGAAGCTGACAGGGACATCGACTTCTGATGTCTCAGTCGCGTCCAGGCGGAAGATGTACAGACTGCGGCAGGGCTGGCTGCGTAAGCCAGCACGTCTGCCAGGCAGGGAGGGGGGTGGGCTCAGGCAGGGGCAGACAGCAGTCTGACGGACCAGTGACAGAAAGGGCAACCTGTCCTTTACAGCACGTGCCCTCCTCCCCAAACCACCTCATCTTTGTCAAGAAGAAAAACCTCGAAAAACCTGCTATACTTGTTTTGGGAATTCTGGGGGAACCGATAACCTGAAGCTGCTCAAGACTTTTTTTTAAACAGCAATTAGATGTATTACTTCAAAGGAAAGACAGTAACACCTTACATGTTTGAGTATTTGTTTATGTGAGAGGGCCAAAGTCTTCTGAGCTACGTGTAAAATACAGCCTATCCTGAGACGTCTCCGTCCAAGTCTAAGTGATAAAGTGAATGGGTGATACGGCCCACTGCTCTCAGCCTGGGCCCAGAACACACTGCTTCAATGTTTCAGTGGATTCGGAAAGTTACAGGTATAGGACCTGCAGGTGTTGTATGGAAGTATCCTATGTTGTTATTAACAACAGAGTTCTTAGTCAAAGGCCATTCATTCCTTTACAAAGATCAGGTAAAATTCCTAAAAGGAGCCCTGGTGGCACAATGGTTAAATGCTCAGCTGCTAACCACAAGGCCGGCAGTCTGAACCCACTAGCCACTTTACAGGAAGAACGACGTGACAACCTGCTTCCACAGAGATCATGGCCTGGGAAAGCATACAGAGTGGGCCTACTCCATCACACAGGGTCGCTATGAGCTGGGATCGACTCAACAGCACACAACAACAAGATTCCGAAGGGGTTAACAGAGCCCCGTTTTTCAAGATGGGAAAAATTAGGAAGAGCCGAGAGGGGGAGACAGAGCAGTAGCTACAAGTCAGCGCTCCCGCCTGACAGACAGCTACACAACGGTTAGAACTGCTGATGCAATTGTCACCATAACCACACCATTCCTTAACTCAGCTTGTCACCACAGACTCGGAATCCCAAAGGGACAGTTTCTGTCCTTTACACAAGTTAAGGAGACTCTGGGTTGAAGATCCAGGTCTTTCTGCAGAAACCCTTTCAAAGCCTCAAGGCCAGAGCCACTAAGTGCCTCCTTGTCCTCATTCCCGTGTGTGAGCAACCCTGCAGTCCTCTCGGCCCTTCACCTGCCCCCTCCAACTTCTCCCACAGGGCCCTTCATCAGCATCCTTCCTCACTGGTCTCCCCACTGTCCCTCGCACCCCTTCCGGCTGCATGCTTCCTAAACATAAACCAGACCTTGCCACTCATCTGCCTGGAGCCCTACAGATGCTCAAGAGTCTTCAGGAGGAAGTTCAGAGTCCGCCTCCTGGCACCCAGTCCGGCCCCGTTCTCTCTCTGGACCCCAACTTTTTGAGACATGCAGGCCCCTGGCCGTGCATCAGCCCAGAGGACTCTTACAGGTGCACTCCTCTCTGCCTGGGGACCTGGCATCTTTCTGGGCCCTCTTCCAAACTCAGCTCTGAGGTCATGAAGTCTCCCCGATGCATGCTCATTTCTTTCTGAGTCCTTAGTTCATGCATGTACTACTGCCCGTCACACTGTAAGGTAAGAGACCTTCCCCATCTGAGGTCCTGGAAGGCAGACCTGGAAGCTCAGCACAAAGCCCCACATAAAGCAGGTCTCAATAAATGCGTTCTTAACGGTAAGGTCAGTTAGTGGCGTCAGCCACTAAGCTTCTGATAGCTGCCAGGGGAGGGAGCAGGTCTTTATAACACACTGCTTAGAAGAGCTGCCCGTCCCTGCATTGCTGTCGAGGATTCTGCCCTCTGGACTTGGAGAGGGACTCTACAGCCATCACAGAAGAACAGGAAACAAGTGCCTCACGAAGGCGAACACACATTCTGTGCTGTCTGTGCCACTCAGCACCCACCCTTTCCCTGTGGCAATAGCACCTGGATGTTGCTTTGGGGGAACCCTGCTTCCCAATTCGGTTCCCGGGCTTCTGATGATGCTGCCTCCACCCCAGACTTCTCCCAGCTACCGCGGCCTGTGACAAGTTCAGAGGTGGGCCATGCCCAGACCAGACCAGTCAAGGCAACAAGGCAACTCCCGGCCACCTGTCGGTAAGAGCTGAGCGTGTGAGGGCGTGACGTCTGATGCTGCGCAGAGCCCAACAGTGGAGCTGCTACAGCGGCAGCAGAGCTGTGAGAGGGACTCGGACCCCACTCCTGGGGGTTTCCAGCACAGGAACTAAAAGATGGCCCTTTAACATGAACCAGGATGTACAGTGTTTTCTGTTGCCTACAACACAGAGGGTCCTAGCTGATTCAGATACTTAATGCGTGGCTGTGTCCTGCACACACGCGTTACAGACAAACACACTGTCACAATTCTGTGCTCTACTGTCTGTACAGGGCGGTCAGGATCAACATTGTCTCCCCCTGCCCAGCTGCTGACATTCTCGTGCCCGAATCAGGAGCAAGGATTAATGGATGCACGAGAAAAGCAGGGTGAGATGGGGAGCCAGGGGTTGTTTGCAAGCTTCTTCCCTGGAGAGTAAAAATGATCCTGAGACTAATGGAAAAGGAAGGACTGAGTCAGCATCCAGAGCAAGGCAGTGCTCCACCCAGCCCTGGAAGCACACTGCTGACTGGCTGCACAGTCTAGACAGGACCCGTGAGGCACGCGAGCACAGCTAGACTGCTCAGATAAGGTACTTTGCAGCAAAAAAACTGACCCTCATTAAGGTTAGAGACCTTTCTAGAAATAAAATGCAAACTGATATTTTCATTATAAATTATAATATAAATTATTTTTGCATATGAATTTTAAGATGATTAAAATGACAGATTATTGCTTTAGAAATTTAATTCACATCACGAGTACAAAGTCAGTAACAAAAGACGTTTGCTTTTGTGACTTCCAGAGTAGGCCTAGCACTGTGATTTAGGAAGCAGTGAACAACTCAGTAAGCATTTGCTGAATTTCAAGTTTGCATATATAAACTCACAAAATTTCTGTTTACAATAGGTCACCCCAACCTCACAATGGGCTGTGTTCTCAAAGTGCATCAAGTTGGTTGGTGTGAAAATTGGACTATATTTTTCCCCCAGAAAAAGTGCTAAAAAGGATGGCTGCATTTCACAGTCTAGCCCACAACAGTCTACATAGGCAAAACAGTAGCTGTATTACGTTTTCAGTAGTTCTGGGTCCAAGGAAGAACCATTTTCTAAAACTTTAATTTTTAGAAATAACTATTTTTTAAAAAAATCAAGTTTTATGAAGGTAGGTTCCTATTAATCTGCCCACTTGTTTTGTTTTTATGTCTGATCTTGTCTCTTTCACAAATCTAATCCACTTAAAGCCCCTAGAGGACAGGCACTCGTATTTCTTCGGCATGACCCACATCAGAGCATTCTGATAGGAAATGTTTTGGCTGTTGATTAAAAGCATATTCAGTGACTGGGCAAAAGCAGAATTAAAAGTATAATCCAAAAGAAGCATGTGCGCGCATACACATGCAGACACGTGTGCACACGCACGTACACGCACACATGCAGACACACAGCACACAGGTGGGGAGCAAACAGTAGATCCTTGTCTTAAACACCCTTACAAAAGTCTGGCTCTGAACCTCAGAGAACCACATATTCTAAAGTTCAAAAGAAACCTAATAAAATACTTCCTCAATAATTCAGAACAATTTCAAAAAACAAGGACCCTGAAATATTCTTCTAGTACTACAGACTTAGATCTGTTACATACTAGACACTTCTAATTAAGTCTTCTATTAACTATCTTCTATTAAGTCCCTTCTGAACTAGAAGAAATTTAATAGATTTGAGAAAAGAACTGTAATAAAAGAAAATCTATCAGAGGAAAGACTACTATTAAGAAATAAAGATACTATCATGGATTGAATTGTGTCCCCCAAAATATCTGTCAACTTGGCTAGGTCATGATTCCCAGTTACTGTATGATTGTCTACCATTTTGTCATCTGATGTGATTTCCCTATGTGTTGTAAATCCTATCACTATGATGTAATGAGATGGATAAGTGGCAGTTATATTGATGAGATCTACGAGATTGGATAGTGTCTTAAGTCATCCTCTCTTGGGATATAAGGGAGGCAAGCAGAGAGACACGGGGACCTCATACCACCAAGAAAGCAGTGCCGGGAGCAGAGCGCGTCCTTTGGACCTGAGGTTCCTGTGCTAAGATGCTCCCAGACCAAGGGAAGATTGATGACAAGGACCTTCCTCCAGAGCTGATGCAGAGAGAAAGCCTTCCCCTTGAGCTGACGCCCTGAATTTACACTTGTAGCCTACTAGATTATGAGAGAATAAATTTCTCTTTGTTAAAGCCATCCATTTGTGGTAATTCTGTTTCAGCAGCACTAGATGACTAAGACAGATATTAATCATTATCTGTTAACTGTGTAGGTCACTCATCTATGCAAAGAAATTTAGAAGACAGACACCTGGCCAATCGACTGGAGATCCATATTTGTGCCCGTTCCAAAGAAAGGTGATCCCACAGAATGTGGAAATTATCGAACAATGTCATTAATATCACACACAAGAAAAATTTTGCTGAAGATCATTCAAAAATGGTTGCAGCAGTACATCGATAGGGACCTGCCAGAAATTCAAGCCATATTCAGAAGGGGATGTGGAACAAAGGATATCATTGCTGAGGTCTGAAGGATCTTGACTGAAAAGCAGAAAATACCAGAAAGATGTTTACCTGTGTTTTATTGACTATGCAAAGGCATTCGACTGTGTGGATCGTAAGAAATTATGGATAACACTGCAAAGATTGGGAATTCTAGAACACTTACTTGTGCTCATGTGAAACCTGTATATAGACCTAAAGGCAGTGTTTCAAACAGAACAAGGGGATACTGAGTGGTTTAAAGTAAGAAAAGGTGTGTGTCAGGACTGTATCCTTTCACCATACTAATTCAATCTGTGTGCTGAGCAAATAGCCCTAAAAGCTGGACTATATAAATAACATGACATCAGGATTGGAGGAAGACTCGTTAACAACCTGTGATATGCAGATGACACAACCTGCTGAAAGTGAAGAGGACTTGAAGAACTTATTGATGAAGATCAATGACTACAGCCTCCAGTATGGATTACACCTCAACATAAAGAACACAAAAATCCTCACAACTGGACCAAAAAGCATATCATGATAAATGCAGAAAAGACAGAAGTTGTCAGGGACTTCATTTTACTTGAATCCACAATCAACATCCATAGAAAAAGTAGTCAAGAAATCAAATGCAAAAGATATCTTTAGAGTGTTAAAAAGGAGATGTCACCTTTAGGACTAAGGTGTGCCTGACCTAAGCCATTGTATTTTCAATCGTCTCATACGCTGGACAATGAATAAGGAAGACCAAAGAAATGATGTCTTTGAATTACGGTGTTGGTGAAGAATACTGAATATACCATGGACTGCCAGAAGAGTGAACAAATCTGTCTTGCAAGAAGTACAGCCAGAATGCTCCTTAGAAGCAAGGATGGCAAGACTTCATCTCACATACTTGGGACGTTATCATGAGAGACCACTCCCTGGAGGACATCATGCTTGGTAAAGTAGAGGGTCATCAAAAAAGAGGAAGACCCTCAATCAGATGGACTGACACAGTGGCTGCAACAATGGGCTCAAACATAGTAACGATCCTGAGGATGGTGCAGGAACAGGCTGTGTTTCAAACTGTTGTACGTATGGTCGCTATGAGTTGGAACCAACTCGAAGGCACTTGACAACAATCTAGCCCAGCTGCTATACTCAATTAAGTCCTTAACAGTCTTTAATTATAAGGAAAAAGACAATTCAAAACACACACACACGAATTAGAAAAGAAAATATCACAATGTGAACATTTACAAAAATTCACTGAGTAATCAGTATCATCTTACAAAACAAACCTTTGTCTACATATTAATTCAACCTTAAGTGGTCTGTGGAGCAGGGAAATGTGAACAGTTTGGTTGTAAGAATGAAGGAAGAGGGCACTCTTTACTGAGGCTGTCACAGTAGTTAGTGATCAAACATCTCGCTTGACTAACAAGATCTAAAGGAAACAGAAAACTTACGATGCAATTTCGGAAAGTGAACGTCAGAAGAAACAGCTCTGATGCTAGACAGGAACGAAACACGAGCTGTTCGCAATGTTCCATTTGGGCGGCCAGGGGACAAAGAGAGCTGACGTGAACTTCCTGATCTGAGGGATTCTACTCCTGGGCCTTGTCTGCCCACTTTGACTTTTCTCTCCTCACTTTGGATTTGGATAGCCACCACTTTTCCAAAAAAGAAAGATGGAGAATACACGCTACCCTGGGAAATTTGTTCTATACTGATCATATTTAACCACCCTCTACCAGTCCAGTTTCTTCCCTTTCTCTCTCCCCCAAAAACTAACTCTATCTCATGGTCTCTGGATTAAAGCACTCCACTGACTACTTATTTTCTCATTTCATAACCCCAGGAAAGTTGTTTGCAAGACAGGCCTCTCTCTGTATTTTAAATCATGCTCCTCCGACGTGTGCTTGCCCCTCAACCAGATCAAAACCATTCAGCAGCGCACCATTCAAGTGCTTGCTTGCCTTACTTCAATCTGTTTGCCACTGGTTGATTAATTTTTATATATTTTAAAATGTAATTTGTCAAAATCTATATGGTGCAGAAGGATAAAATGGCATTTAAACTAGGAAAACAAACCCTAATGGCACACTGCTTTAATAAAATCCTTCCATATGTAAAACAAACCAACCATTCCAGAGGTTGGAATCTCAGTTCTTGGGGATCTCTCTCAAGTATCTAAGGCAGAGACCATGTTACTTAAGCGCCACGAGGACCTTTTGGCCAACTCCTGACCTTTAACCTAACGCTCACGCCCCAACTTGCACTCCCTGCCTCGGGTCATCCTCCCACAAACTCCTTCCACTGCCGGATCGCTGCTCCACGGTGGAGCCACACGTTAACACTGATCTCCTCTAGGACACCCTTCAGGTTTAACTGACCCTTTCAATCATCACACTCAGCCATGAGGATGAAGTACTGCAGAAGGGGGAGGCTTTGGAATCCTGGTATCTCGCTATAAACCAACAATCAAATTTAACTTACCTTTAGATAACACTTACTGTTATTATTTGAATTCCCTTTATAAAAGCTGAGAAGTTCCTGGTTCTACCAACAGGCCAAATTCCATACCTGTTCTCTTTGCCATTCTGAATGACTGAGTGTCTGTCAGCGGTGGTTCTTTCACTACAGACGTAAGTATTTCGCCGCGTCATTCCGCCAGATGCCGTCGTACTCTATTAAAAAAAAGGCATTTGTTTTAGAAAAATTATACACATTCTAAACCTATTTATTAGTTAGAAAATCTATGCTAACAATAATCTCTAAAGATTATTTTGGTTTTCATAAGAATCTGAGGTCCTAACACTATTTAGTAAATACACTGCAATGATAAATAACTCATCTACATAAACGTGAATATGTAGTTTAAATAAAACTATACTAAAATAAGTCCCTGGGTGGTGCAAATGGTTAACGTACTCGGCTGCTAACCGGAAGTTGGAGGTTGGAGTCCACCCAGAGGAGCCTCAGAAGAAAGGCCTGGCGATCTACTTCTGAAAAACCCTGTGGAATACAGTTCTACTCTGCACACATGTGGTCACCATAAGTCGGAATCAACCTGATGGCGACTGGTATATGGTGGGACCGCTAACATGTCAACAGTAACGGCCAACAAGATGAGGAAAGGGGCAAAGGCAGCACCCTCTACTCTCTTTCCCGGCAACTAAAATGGAAAGTGGCTAAGGTAGTGTGACTTTGAAAAGCTGGCCCATAATAATCAACAAAAGAATCACTCACAAATTACCTACAAGGTGGGAAGATGGAGTGACCCACTCTTTTTAAAAACTAACACTTTTAAAATAACAAGCAAGGAACAACAGTAACAGCTAAGGCATTTTATCAGATCAAAACAATTTTTAAACCAAGATAAAGCGTGGTCACCTTTAACATGGCAGGAGCAGACCAAGTACAGAAAAACTGAAGACTGATGGGAGAAAATTATAATAATGTTGCTGAACAGTCCTTTTTTTCCTCTCTAACAACCAACACGGGTAACCAACAATGCCAGGGATGTGCTTTCACAAGGGCAGTGAGGGACGCAGAGGGCGAGGGGGTTGGTCATGAAGGCGGAGATCTTTACCCTCTTCTGATAACTGTCAGGAAAAGTCAGACTGGCCTGAAACTGCAGGGCTGTGGAATGGCAACCCAATTTATGGCATATGAAAGCCAGAACAAAATGTCTCCCGCCAGCATTAGCGCTGACGGAGCGCCAGGCCAGGGGATGGAGCAGACACACTCCTTGGGCTCTGTTATGCACCCTGTTCTCCAGAGCCTCCCGAGTGGACCAGAGCTTCCCCATGGGCTCTTCACTCTAGGGGCCTTCCGGGCAGGTGGCCAAGGAGGGAAGGCTGTGTTCCTGTCAGGCTCGTAGGGAAAAACACGCTTTCAGAATATCCTTAATGTTGTTCACTTTTCTGCAAATTCTTTCTAAAATTACTTCTGGGAGTGCTAAGAATATAATTACCATGCTGGGTCAAAAAGAATACACTCTAATACTTAGGGAAAGTTTCTGAAGCGGAATATATTCAGTTGCATGTAATAAGTATTTCCGGAGGACCTGCGCGCGGGGGTGGTTTAGTCAAGCATTGGGAGTCAGAGCCGGGGTCAGGTCAGCAGTGTCGTCTTAGCCAACTCCCTAACTCTTCTTCCTTCTCTTCACCCGAAATGAAGGCACTGAGGACTCCCTCACAGCGAGTAAGCAGTGAATTAGCTAACACACGGAAAGGCACTGAGGACTCCCTCACAGCGAGTAAGCAGTGAATTAGCTAACACAGAAAGGCACTGAGGACTCCCTCACAGCGAGTAAGCAGTGAATTAGCTAACACCCAGAAAGGCACTGAGGACTCCCTCACAGCGAGTAAGCAGTGAATTAGCTAACACACAGAAAGGCACTGAACACGGTCCTGGGCGCGTGGTGAGGACTCTGTCAAATGTATTTATTTATCCTTGGTCGTTTTAAGGTTCAGTTCAAACACCACTTCTTCGGCACGTGGGCAGTCAGATCTTCTACTGCTTTGTACAGACGACCGTGAGAGGCGTCTGTCTGCGGCACTGCCCCCGTTTAATTCCTGTTAGGCTGTGAGCTCTCTCCATGTCTCAATGCCTGACACCTCCCGGAGGCTTAACAGAGATTTGTGGAGCAAACGGAAGCAGGCCCTGGAGTGAAGGACCCAGGCACAGTTCAACTGGAGATACCTACCAGGCAGCAGGTGATACCTGCCCTACGGGAGTCACTGGGGCTCAGAGGAGGGCGCCATTAGGACAGGCTTCGTCAAGTGTGGGCCTTGAGGCACAGGCAGCACTTGTACAGGTGGAGCCTGGCATGGAAACCCAGTGAGGAAGGCATTCCAGTCAGAGGCGAACATAGGCACCTAGAAGGACTGTCTGGCGGCTCAGCCCTGGTGGCCTATGGGAGCGCTGCAACTCCACAGTACTCACACTAGGGACTGTGGAGCTCTTCTTGCGCTCAGGGATATCTGCCTTGTTGGGATTACTGGCATTCCCCAGCATGGGACTGGCTGGAGCGATCCCCTTTCCTCCAACAGCAGTGCCGCTTGACTTCCGGGAGGGAATTCCGTCTTCTTTGAGGTCACCATCTGCGGTGCTGGTCTGACTCCTTTTTGGATACGCCACAACAGAAGGAATAGCAGGTCCAGCTAAAATAAAGAGTTCACCTTTTAAAAGCCAGAAGAGTCTCACATTTTCCCCATGAAAATAAACACACTGCACAAGCTCATCAGACTGTCATTCATCTGAAACACTGTGACCCAGTAAAATCCTCTGTTTCCCATTTATGTCTTTTTCCCTACGCAAGGAGTTCAACTCTGAAATTTCACTTATTAGTCCCTAACATGCTACTTTTTCCTCAAGATCTTTCTACACTACTTTCTATAGCTGTCCTTTGGAAATATCGTAAGGGGTGTCACTGCATAGACAGCTCATCAAACGAGCTCACGAGATGCACACACATCGCGAAGAACGCACGGTTCACCTTGTGTACGTGAGCGCATGACACGTCTAAGAAACACCTTCACCTTTGAAGAGAACGATAAAAGTTTTGGGGACCATTTCTTCCGAAGTTTTATCTTAGACTTTTCAGAAAACAACTTGGAAGAAGTTTATGGGTCTCTAATGATTTTGACTGTTTTAAGGGGTGGGGAAGGAGGGGAATTCTATCCAGAAATTCTCATCTTCTAGATAAACAGGAATCTGAGCAGACTGGGGAAGGGGCAGAAGCAGAGGAAGGCACGTGCCTGCGTGCAAGCAGTGCGAGGAAGTGGGAGGAGGTTCTTGTCGCCTCCAGGGTCCACGATTTGCCAAGGGCTGCAATAAATCAGCTGAAGGCTCCTCCAGCAGCACAGGAGCTCCGCGGATCGAACACTTGAAAACTGGTAAGTAGTTTATTTATTATATATGTTGCCCAGTGGGAGGAGCCCTGGTGGCGAGGTGGTGAAGAGCTCGGCTGCTAACCAAAAGGTCAGCAGTTTGAATCCACCAGCCGCTCCTTGGAAACCCTGTGGGGCAGTTCTACTCTGTCCTGTAGGGTTGCTATGAGTTGGAAACGACTCGACAGCCACGGGTTTACGAGTCCAGCGGTAACATTAAAAAAATAGCACCAAATGCTCATCATTTATTCTAAGGTGGAAGAGTTTTTTATATTTTAGGTCTGTTATAAAAAGGTGGGGATGGGGAGGCTACTTCTGGGAAAAAATCTAAATGGTAACTCTATTTGGAACGAAGTTAGAAATAAACAAGGACTCAATTTTATTTATGGGGAGAGAGCAGTTAAGCTTTTGAACTGGCAACCTGAGCATAATATATGACAAAGAATTAACAAGTACAGAGTGATATTACCCGCAATGTTTACCTTTCTTCTCAAAATCACAGGAAGTCAAATGACATTCTGAACTTTCAGGTTACTACTGAATTGTTTTGAAACCTCTATAATTTGTATTTAGGAAACATAAAATCTTTCCTTCTAAGACCTGAGATACCGACACAACACACTGACCTAGGTCTCACTGGTCTTACTTGCACTCATCCGTGTCGTGTGTGTGTGCATGTGTGTGTATTTAACTCTATGCAACCGTATCACACGTGTGGACTCGTGTTACCAGCACAGTTGGGACAGAGCAGTACCGTTCTCCAGTCACAGCCGCTGTTCCCTCAGCCCAATGTCCACTTCCCTAGCCTTTGGCCTCAGTCACCCATCCTCATCTCTACAATGCTGTCATTTCCAGACTGTCATGGGGATAATCATACAGTACGTAACTGTTTGAGACTGGCTTTTTTTCAGTCACCACAATTCCCTTGAGAGCCATCCAAATTGCTGCGTGTCTCAACAATTTGCTCCTTTTTCATTACTGAGCAGGACTCCATGGTATAGGTGCACCACAGAGAAACGGGATTACTATGTGTAGTCAGTCTTTCCCTTCATGGCTTTAGTGTTTGGGGTCATAGACAGAAAGACCATTCCTACTCCAAGCTATACAGGAAATTATCACACGTTTTCTTTTATTACTTCTGTGGCTTTAGGCTTTTATATTTACATCTTCACTCCACTTACACAATCATAGCTGTCCACGCCTGGAATGCTCTGTGCAGCTCTAACCACCACATCTCAAGGTAAAAGAACAGAGATGGAAACAGTACAGAGAAGGTAAAGGGAATAAACAAGGGGTGGAGGGGGTCTCATGTGAGAATGCATTTTTAAAAGTCAAGACCAGGCCAACAAAGATTTGGTTTATGAACCCTAGAATACTGGAATTAAATACCCTGAAAGTTAATATTCATGGTTAACGGTGAATAAACACTCACATGGTTAGGGTCTCAGGAATAGCTACGGGGTTGAGTCAACATACCCTTTGGGGTACTAAGCCTTACAAAGGATTCACTTCTATGGTGAAAAGTTTAAGAGTGCGGGTAGCTTAGCACACAAACAGCAAGAGGGTGGTGGAGAATGACACCAGCCAGAAATTTAAATTAATTAAGGCAAGTCTCTGGAACAGCACGGGCCAATATGGTAGCCACTAGCCCCATGTGGGTACATCGTTGTTGTTGTAGTCAGGTGCTGTCAAGTTGGTTCCGACTCATAGCAAACCCATGTACAACAGAACAAAACATTGACCGGTCTTGTGTCATCCTCACAATCATTGCTACGTTTGAGGCCACTGTTGCAGCCACTGTGTCATTCCATCTTGTTGGGGGCCTTCCTTTTTCACTGACTCTCTAGTTTACCAAGCATGATGTTTTTCTCCAGGGACTGGTCTCTCCTGATAACACGCCCAAAGTACATGAGACAAAGTCTTGCCATTCACACTTCTAAGGAACATTCTGACTGCTGTACTACTTCCAAAACAGATTTGTTCGTTCTTCTGGCAGTCCACAGTATAGTCAATACACTTCACCAACACCATAATTAAAACGCATCATTCTTCTTTGGTCTTCCTTATTCATTGTTCAGCTTTCCATGCATATGAGGTGACTGAAAACACCATGGCTTAGGTCAGGCATGCCTTAGTCCTCAAGGTGACATCTTTGCTTTTTAACATTTTAAAGAGGTCTTTTGCAGCAGATTTGCCCAATGCAATATGTCATTTGATTTCTTGACTGCTGCTTCCATGAGCGTTGACTGTGGATCCAAGTAAAACGAAATCCTTGACAATTTAAATCTTTTCTCCGTTTATCATGATGTTCACTGGTCCAGTTGTGAGATTTTTGCTGTCTTTATGTCCAGGTGTAATCCATATGGAAGGCTGTGGTCTTTGATCTTCATCAGTAAGTGCTTCAAGTCCTCTTCACTTTCAGCAAACAAGGCTGTGTCATTTGCACACTGCAGGTTGTTAATGAGTCTTCCTCTAACCCTGATGTTGCATTCTTCTTCATGTAGTTCAGCTTCCTGGATTACTTGCTCAGCACACGGATTTAATAAATATGGTGAAAGGATACCACCCTGATACACACCTTTCCTGATTTTAAACCATGCAGAATTACCCTTGTTCTGTTTGAATGACTGCCTCCTGGTCTATGTACAGGTTCCGTATGAGTACAATTAAGTGTTCTGGAATTCCCATTTTTCACAATGTTATCCATAATTTGTTATGATCCACACAGTCAAATGCTTTTGCATAGTCAATAAAACACAAGTAAACATCTTTCTGTAGTCTCTGCTTTCAGTCAAAATGCATCTGACACTAGGAATGGTATCCCTCGTTCCACATCCTCTTCTGAATCCAGCTTGAATTTCTGGCAGTTCCCTGTCAACGTACCTCTGCAACCATTTTTGAATTATCTTCAATATAATTTTAGTTGCAGGTGATATTAATGATACTGTTCAGTAGTTTCAGCATTCTGTTGGATCTTCTTTCTCTGGTATGGGCACAAATATGGATATCTCCCTATCGGATGGCTAGGTAGCTGTCTTCAAAATATCTTGGCACAGACGAGTGAGAGCTTCCAGCATCGCATCCGTTTGCTGAAGCATCTCAACTGATATTCCGTCCATTCCTGGAGCCTTGTTTTTCACCAACACCTTCAGTGTAGCTTGGACTTGTTCCTTCATCACCACTGGTTATTGATCATATGCTATCACCTGAAATGGCTGAACGTCCATCAATTCTTTTTGGTACGGTGATTCTGTGTATTCCTTCCATCTTCTTTTGATGCTTCCTGCATTGTGCAGTATTTTGTCCAGAGAATCCTTCACTATTGCAATGCGAGGCTTGAATTTTTTCTTCAGTTCTTTCAGCTTGAGAAATACCAAGGGTGTCCTTCCCTTTTGGTTTTCTAACTCTAGGTCTTTGCACATTTCATTTAATACTTTACTTTGTCCTCTCAAGCTGCCCTATGGAATCTTCTGTTCAGCTTTCTTACTTCATCATTTCTTCCATTCGCTTTAGCTATCTACATTCAAGAACAAGTTTCAGAGTCTCTTCTGACTTCCATTTTGGTCTTTTTTTTCCCTTTTCTTTTTAATGATCTTTTGCTTTCTTCATGTATAATGTCTCTGATGTCATCCCACCACTTGTCTGGTCTTTGGTCATTAGTGTTCAATGTGTCGAATCTATTCTTGAGATGGTCTCTAAATTCAGGTGGGATATACTCAAGGTTGTACTTTGGCTCTCATGGACTTGTTTTGATTTCCTTCAGCTTCAACTTGAATTTTCATATGAACGATTGATGGTCTGTTCCACAGTCGGCCCCTGGCCTCATTCTGATGATCTTGAGGTTCTCCATCATCTCTTTTCACAGACATAGTCAATTTGACTCCTGTGTATAGCATCTGGCAAGGTCCATGTATAGCCACTGTTTATGTGATTGAAAAAAGGTATTTCCAATGAGTAAGTTGTTGGTCTTATAAAATCTAGGTTCATTTCCATCACCAGGGCCATATTCTCCAACTACTGATCCTTCTTCTTTGTTTCCAACTTTCACATTCCAGTAACCAGTAAATATCAATGTATCTTGACTGCATGATCTATTTCAGACTGCAGAAGTTGATAAAAATCTTCAGTTTCTTCATCTCTGGCATTAGTGGTTGCTGTGTAAATTTGAATAATAGTTGTATTAACTGGTCTTCCTTGCAGGCATAAGGATATTATCCTATCACCGACAGTGCTGTATTTCAGGATAGATCTTGAAATGTTCTTTTTGATGATGAATACGATGCCATTCCTCTTCGTCATTCCTGGCAGAGTAGACCACATGACTGTCCGATTCAAAATGGCCAATACCACGAGTCCACTTCAGTTTACTAATGCCTAGGATATCGATGTTTATGTGTTCCATTTGATTTTTGATGACTTCTAATTTTCCTAGATTCATATTTCATACATTCCACGTTTCGATTATTAATGGATGTTTGTAGCTGTTTCTTCTCATTGTGAGTTATGCCACATCAGCAAATGAAGTCCCGAAAGCTTGACTCCATCCACGTCATTAAGGTCAACTCTACTTTGAGGAGGCAGCTCTTCCCTAGTCATATTTTGAGTGCCTTCCAATCTGAGTGCTCATTTTCCGGTACTATGTCAGACAATGTTCTGCTTAAGGTTTTCTGCTCAATGTTCCATAAGGTTTTCACAGGGCAATTTTTTCAGAAGTAGATTGCCAGTTCCTTCTTCCCAGTCTGTCTTAATCTGCAAGCTCCGCTGAAATTTGTCCACCATGGGTGACTGCAATGGTTAAGATTGTGTGTCAACTTGGCTGGGCCATGATTCTCAGTGTTTTAATGTAATCACTCTCATGATTGAATATACTGTGAGTAGCCAATCAGATGAAAGGGAGTCTCCTTGGGGGCGTGGCCCACATCTGTATATAAGCAGACGTTCTGGCTTTCTGCTCTCTCTGGATCCTGCGGCTGCTTCCTGTTGTCTCATCTCCCGTTCTTGAGACTTGAGCTGTCAACTTATCTGCCGAACCTGGGATTCGTCGATCTGCACAGCCTGTGAGTGGGAGCCCTGCTCTCCGACCTGCTGATCTTGGGCTTGCCGGCTTCTGCAGCTGTGTGACTTGGGAGAGGCCTCTACCCTGATCCACGGACTTGGGACGTTCTAGCCACTACAATCGCATGAGCTGTTTCCTTGATATAATCTCTCTCTCTCTATGTATATATATTTATACACTTTGCTGCTTTTGCTTCTCTAGAGAACCCAGCCTAAGAATTTAGTGGGAGTGGGGTGCTGCTCTAACAGATACCTAAAATGTGGAAGTAGTTTTGTAACTGTGAATGAATAGAGGTGCGGCAGCAGCAGAGGACCAGCAGTGGCAGAGAATCTGCAGCAGCAGTGAAGGGGCAGCAACAGAGAACCAGCAGCGGCAGAACCAGGAGTTCAGCGCTAGACAGCACTGGAGCTGACCCACAGAGTGAGAGCTGAGTGCCTGTGCACAAGAGGCTTCCTGGCGGAGTGGGGTGCCTCCAGGCACTTACCATTGCTGGAACTACAGAGGTTTGGAACACTTGCCCCAACAGGGCAGATGTGGGCATGAGGCCCGAGGGCCAAGAGGCCACAGGAAGCAGAAGCTGAAGAGACAAGGAACACAAGAAGCCGAGCTACCTCAGTCTCAAAAAGTATGGCCATGACCTCTGCAATTTCAAAGGGTGTAGCCATGGCCTCTGGTGTTTCTAAGGGTGGAGTTGTCACTCCAACGGACTAGGATAATGGTGCGCCTAAAGCCAAGGGAGCAGGGCTGCCATCCCAGTGGGCCTGGAAGGCAAAGCTGAAGCCCAGGGCTGAGGGGCCTCCACTCAGAATCTGGAGACTGCGGCCAATACCTAGAGTCTGGAGGGCAGGGCTATTGTGTAAATGTCTCAGAGAACAGAGGATTATTTTCAAGCCTTGAGGGCTAATGTAATGTGTTCTGCTAACTTACTTGGTGCCTGTTATTCCTTCTTTCCCTGCAATTTCTCCTATTTGTAATGGAAATGTCTAGCTTGTGCCTGTTCTGCCATTGTACCTTTGGAAGCAGGTAACTCGTATTCTAGATTTCACAGATGAAGAGGAATTTTTAGATTTTGGACTTGTAGTTAAGACTTCTGCTGCGATATGAGATGAATATGTTTTGCATGTTGCAAGGATGTGATTTTTTGGGAGCCAAAGGGTGGAATATCATGGATTGAATTGTGTCCCTCAAGAAATGTGTGTAGCAACTTGGCTGGGTCATGATTCCCAGTGTTGTATGATTGTGTAATCTGATGTGATTTCCTTATGTGTTGTAAATTCTATCACTATGATGAGATTATATGTGATCTCCTTATGTGTTGTAAATTGTCACTGTGATGAGGTTATACTGAGGAGGTTGACAAGATTAGTGTCTTAATGTAATCTCTATGAGATACGAAAGAGAGAAGCAAACAGAGACACATGGGCACCTCATACCACCAAGAAAGCACTGCCGGGAGCAGAGCACGTCCTTTGGACCTGAGGTTCCTGTGCAGAGAAGCTCCCAGACCAAAGGAAGACTGATGACATGCACTTTCCTCCAGAGCTGACAGAGAAAGCATTCTCCTGGAGCTGATGCCCTGAATTTGGACTTGTAACCTACTGGACTGTGAGAGAATAAACTTCTCTTTGTAAAGCCATCCACTTGTGGGATTTCTGTTATAGCAGCACTAGATGACTAAGACAGTGACCCTCCTGGTATCTGAAATACTGGTGGCAAAGCTTCCAGCATCACAGCAACACATAAACCACCACACTATGACAAGATGACAGACAAATGATGGGTACATAAATGTAAATTAACTGAAATTAAAAATCATTTCCTAAGTTGAAGTGCTCTAGCAGCTACTCTGTTGCTCAGCACAGATATAGAACATTTTTGTCATCGCAGAAAAGTTCTGCTGGACAGTGCTGCTCTATGAAGTCAATCTGATGCAGTAACGGGGAAGAGAGCGAAGAGAGAGCTACAGACTGAAGCAGGGGTCCTGCAGGGGCAAACAGCGAGGCTTCCATCCAACTAAGCCTTCCTAGTGAAAACCCAAGATTACACCAAGGAGGTCGGAGCTGTGGGGTATCCACGCCAGTACCTGCAGGAAGGCTATGAAATAAATGCCAAGAAGGGAAATCCAGCCAGCCCCCAGCCCCAGGAGGCCCTAAGCGAGAGGCTGTGTCCCAACTGTTAGGCGTCTGGGCAGGGCAGTCGCAGACTTACCATGGTCACTGTACCGCCTCTGCTTCTGGCTTGAGGAGACACTTCTCTGCACCTTGTGGTGAGGGGACTGGCCAGTGCTGTTGCTGAGATCACTGCTCGGCCTAACCTTAGCAAGTGAGAGATTGCTGCTAGAACTGGAGTCACTAGCATCCAGCTAAGAGAAAATGAGAAAAACAGAGCGAACCACAACACGGACCCAAGTGGCTCATTAGGACACTAAACTTGGAACCTCTCATAACACAGTTCATTTAGAGAGAAGACTCCCACTACACAAAATGGCGGGCCTTCACCAGGGGACTGCGAATACGCAAAAAAGGAAGTACACTATGACCTTCTTTCTAGACTTTCTCAAATAACTTAAAATGCTCTATTTCATCTGATACTTTAATGATAGAGGTTGACTTATAAAAACCAAGTCTGTGACAATATCCATCATTAAGGCTTATTACCTTGAAGTTAAAACTGTAGTTCATAATGGTTACAGGAATTAGACTGGTTATTTACAGATAAATTTTAAAATGATATAACAAACATGTTACATATACTAAAAAAACAAGAACTAATAAAACAGTTTATATAAACTGACAGTTTACATAAAGAATATTTTAGCATTTCCTCTCTGATTACTCTTACCTCTGAAGATTTTCTCCCCAACAACAAATACGTAGCTGTGATTTCATCATATTTCATTTTACTAAGAGATTCTTGAATTTCTTCTTGTGAATATCCCATTCCCACCATAATATCTAAAAGAAGGGTATAATACAGTTTGTGTGTTTTGTTTGGGTAAGCAATCATTTGTTTCAGGGTAAAATAATTTCCCTTGTCTGACCTAAAAGACTACACATTTTCTAACATAAACCAGCAGTTAACTTGTTTCTTAGTTACTGGATGTTTATAGGAAACTTCAGGTAAGTTCCTAAATATGACAGAACAGATAAGCTGAGTCATTAACTTGTGCTTCCCTTTCCATTGTTCCCACTCTAGGCATATCCATATAAGTCAAAACAGAAACATGGTACTTGTACGAACACACACACACACACACACGCACGCACACACGCACACACACACAGAGGCATGGGGGGCAGGGAAGAAGGGCACAGAGAAATTACCTATTCTCTTCTGGTCTGAGATGTCTAGCTCTGGTTCGACGAATGGTTTCAGTTCATCTTCCTCGTGCCCTGCATTGATCCACCTGTCCTTCATGATTTGCTGCAAAGGTAAACGGTTCATTAGCAGTATAAAATAATATATACAGATAACTGCAATGTTCAGGAAAATTTACTTTCAACATTTCACTGATTATAGCTCAAAGGGAAGCTTTGTAAACAACTTTAATGTCTCAATTCCTACTTTAAGTTTCATCATTAAAAAGCCCCAGGAAAATATTCAATACGTCACACAAACTAAGGAAGCTCTAAAAACATTTTAAAGACCGTCCAAAGTCGATAATTATTTCTACTTGTGTGATTACCTCTAGAGTGCCTCGTTTAATTGGATTTAGCACCAGGAAACGCTTGAGAAGGTTTTCACAGTCTGTGGACATGTAGAAAGGGATTCTGTATTTCCCTCTTAATACTCTCTCTCTCAGTTCCTTTGGCGGGGCGGGGGAGGGGATAGAGAGGAAAGAAACAGGTGAATCAACTTTTAGGTTAACAAAACAAAAAACAAAAAAACTCTACCACCGAAACCCACATGCTGATTGATGTAACATTATAAACATTAACCTATATTATTTTATAAAATCCCTTTAGATTTTGGAAGACCACGGATGCAACGGCTTCCTGTACCTTTAGGTTTTGTCCATCAAAAGGAAGTGACCCACTGACTAGCGTGTAGAGAATGACGCCCAGGCTCCACACGTCCACCTCGGGCCCGTCGTATTTCTTGCCCTGGAAGAGCTCTGGGGCCGCGTATGGAGGACTGCCACAAAACGTGTCCAGTTTACTGCCAACAGTAAATTCATTGCTAAAACCAAAGTCTGCTATTTTAATGTTCATATCAGCATCTAACAATAGATTTTCAGCCTAGAGGGAAAACATCAAGACAAAATGAAATTTAACCAAAATATAATCGGAACTGTGATAGAATTAGGCATTTCATAAAAGCTATTTGTAATGATATAAAGTTAATACAGTCTAGTGAATAAAATGAGAAATCAATCTTCCTAGAGGGAAAAAACTCAGGAGATAAAATCGATTCTAACACTAATTTGAACAGCAAATGCCCCACAATCAAGAAAAATTTGATGGCTTTTTCAACTAAGAATAATGAAAGGCTTTTTAAAAAAATCGGTACTTGATTTAATATGGACAGCCACATTTCATAAAAACAGCTAAATAGCTGTAAAATGGTTATTACTGAGGAGGGGGAATCACAATCATCACAATACATCAATCAGTCATTTTCATTTATTTCAGTAAGTATTTACTAGGTGGCTGCTATACCCCAGGCGTTATAGTAGTGTCTGGATATAAAATCGTAAACCAGACAGACAGGGCCCTGCCTTCAAAGAGCTCAGAGTTCAGAAGGGAGAGACAGAAAAATAAGCAGCCACACTAGTGTAAGTGCTGGGGCAGGGCAGGTGTGGGGAGTTGTGTGCCCAGCACCGGAAGGTTCCGGAAGGTGTCTGAGAGGATGTAAAATCTAAGCCCTTGCCTGAAGGACCAGAAGGTTTAGCTGATAGCAGTGGGTGTGTTGGGTGAAAGGTATTTCAAGAACAGTCTGAAAATCCAGAGGTGAGAGCCTGCTTACTCAATAAGAGGCAACTAGCAGGAAAAGAGATGCAGAGAGAAGGCTGGAAGAGGTCAAGGCTGACTCACAAAGGGCCACCAGGTGAGCCATGCTGCAAAGTTTGTATCTTCATACTTAGGGCAAGGAAACCACTGAAGAGTGGTTTTGAAGACCATCCTGGCTGCAATGTGGAAATCAGATGTGGGAGGAGTAGGAGGCACTACGGACACAGGGAGGAGCAAACTAGAAACTACTAGAGTAATCGTAAGAGGGCAACGGTGGTCCTGACTAGGATAGTGAAAACAGGGACAGAAAAAAGTGAGCGAGCTCAAGAAAACTCAGGAAGCAGGAGCAGAAGGACCTGGTGATGGGATGGTCAAGTAAAGGAGAGGGAGGCACTGAGGGGACATCAGTCACTGGGATGAGAAACATTCCAATTGAGGGGAAAGGGTTTAGGCTGTGAACCCGCCAAATCTGAGGTGCCTAAGGAATGCCGAAGCGAAGGGGCCCTCGGTTAGCTGTATCCTGGGTCCTAGCAGAGAGCTCTGGCTGAGGGGCGGATGTGGGGGTCACAGCATATAGGTGGCCACTGAAACTACCAGAGTGGATGAGGATGCCCCCATGGTGCGTGTGGACAGGATGCAGCACGCTGAAGACAGTTAGGTGAGGAGTGAGTATCAAGTACCAGAGTCCAGATAATGTTTAGAGAGATGTGGTTGTGAAGGTGAAGAAAGGGGAAGGGTGTGTCTGGAAGGGGGACTGGGGCAGTGAGGTTTTTCTGTAAAAGATGGTACAGACTTAAGTATGTGTCAATGCTGCTGTGAGAAGTCAGCAGGAAAAGAGGAGCAGGAAGGAACACGAGGAGGAGGCAGCAAAGAGCTGCGTACCTGAGAAGGTAGGAGGAAGCAGGACCCAGACCCCAGGAGGAAGGGCGGCAGAGGTGCCCTTTCCTGTAACGAGAGGCAAGAAGCAAAGGATGGTGAGAGGCAGTGAACTCTGAGGGCTGCTGGAAATGGAGGGAGTTTCCGCCTGGCGCCTCAGTGCATGTCAAGGGACCGCAGGGGTGGAGGGCTGTGAAGAAGGCCTCACGCAGCCACTGCCATTAACAGGCAAGGATGCTGGCTAGGAGGCCAGACAGCATCCATGACGCTGTCCAGGGGAGACCACGTGGTTTGGAGGCCCCCGACTGTTTGGTTGTGTGAGGATTTTCCTCCACAGATCAACTACCAACTACAGTTTAACTGAGATGTGAAATGTTTCTAATTAACAAACCTCATTTTTCTTTAAGGATTACATTATTACAGGACTGAGGCTTTTCTGCTTAATAACATAATCTGTGCCCACGCGTCTCCTCACCTTGAGGTCTCTGTGAACGATGTGCTTCTGGTGGCAGTACTGCACCGCAGACACAATCTGGACAGGAACGGGCGAGGGTGACAGTCAGCGCTGGTGTGACTCACACTTAGATGAACATACTGCATCAACGTTCACGCATGCAACACACTCAGCAAACACTTGAATGTATGTACGTGGAGCTCTAAACACAATTTTCTTAAGCTTTGAACTTTTCAATTTGGATGAATTCAGGGGTGGATGTTCTTCCTGTTCTCTCTAGTTTGGAGTGACATTCCAGCTATTCCGGAGTGTGGAGCAGGGCCCGATCACAGAGCCTAGAGGACCCCGGCTGCCCCAGGCCCAGCACCAAAGGCTGCTATGCAGCCTTTCCATGCCTGGAGGACCAACTCCAACCACCCGGCAGCGATGGACTACCTACGGCTGGTGCTCCCCCAGGCTGGTTTTCCTCTGCTAACTACTCCTGCCAGTCAGTTTGTTGCCTAAGACACTCTTGTGGGTTCAAGGAGAGCAAAAGTTACTGAACCAGTCAGGATCAGTCTCCTCTTCCTTAAAATGACGAATGAATGCTGTAATGCCATATTAACGAGGATCCCTCAACGCCCAGCAAACTGTGCTTTTATTTATACTGTTTTCCTAAATTTTATTTATTTTGTTGTTGTCGAGAATACACACAGCAAAACATACACGAATTCAACAGTTTCTACATGTACCATTTAGTAACACTAATTACATTCTTTGAGTTGTGCAACCATTCTCACCCTCCTTTTCTGAGGTGTTATTCCCCCATTAAACTCACTGCCCCCTAAGGTTCCTATCTGATCTTTTGAGTTGCTGTTGTCAATTTGCTCCCATATAGATAGTTCTTAAAAGAACATAATGCTTAGGGCAGATCTTTTTTACTAATTAAGCTTAACTATTTTTTGTTTTCAAGAAGATTTCAGGGGATATTTTTGGTTAAAGGTTTAAAGATTTATCTCAGGGTAAAATTTCAGGGGTTCATCCACCCTCCATGGCTCCAGAAAGTCTAGAGTCCAGGAAAATCTCCAATTCTGTTCTGCATTTTCCCCCTTTTGATCCAGGATTCTTCTAAAGACTCTTTGGTCAAAATGTTCAGTAATGGTGGCTGGGCACTATCCAGTTCTTTGGGTCTCATGGCAAAGGAGGCAGTTGTTCCTGGAGGCAATTAGCCACACATTCCACATCCTCCTCCTATTCCTGACTCTCATTCTTCCTCTGTTGCTTTAGGTGAATAGAGACCAATCGTTGTGCCTTGGATGGCAGCTTGCGAGATTTTAAGACTGCAGGCACTATGGATCAAACTAGGGGTTAGAACAGAGGCACTAACATGTTATTAGGCCAATTAACTGGGATGTTCCATGACCCTAAACCTCCAAACCAAAGAAGCAAATCTCATGGGATGTTTGACTGTACATAAGCAGCCTCAGCAGCTACTCTCTTTGTTGTTGTTGTTATAAATATATCTGTCACACAACTTTTGCCAGTTCAACTTTTTACAGGCGTACAATTTACTGACAGCAATTACAATAATCACCTGTGCAACTTTATCCTTAAATCAATACGATTTTTGCATCACCATTAACCCTCCTTCTCCTGTTCCCTCCTGCACCTCGTAACCACTAATAAACTTTGTTCTCTATACATTTGCCTTTTCTTATCTTTTTATATAAGTGAGGTCATACAATATTTGGCCTTTAGTAATTGGTTTATTTTGCTCAGCATAATGTCTTCAAGCTCCATCCATACTGTAGTGTGTATCAAGACTTCATTTCTCCTACTGGCTGAGTGTATTCCATTGTATGTATGGACCACCTTTTGTTTATCCATTCATCTGCTGATGGGCATTTATGTTGTTTCCACCTTTTGGCTACTGTGAATAGTGCTGCAATGAACACTGGTGTAAAGTCTCTTTTTGAGTCTCTGCTTTCAAGTCTTCTGGGTACATAACTAGGAGTGGAACTGCTGGGTCATACGGTAGTTCTATCTTTAGCTCTTTGAGGAACTGCCAAACTGTTTTCCACAACAGCTGTACCATTTTGCATTGCCACCAGCAATGGATAAGGGTTCCAATCTCCCCACATCCTTGTCAACATTTCTCATTTTCTGTTTTTTTTTTTTTTTTTTTAACCTCAGCCATCCCACTGGCAGTGAAATGGTATCTCATTGTGGTTTTGACTTGCATCTCTCTGATGGCTAATGACGCTGAGCATCTTTTCATGAGTTTGGTGGCCGTCTGAATGTTCTTTTTGGTGAAATGTCTATTCAAGTCTTTGCCCATTTTATTACTGGATTATTTGTCTTTTTGTTCTTAAGTTGTTGAAGATTTATATATTTTGGTTATTACATTCTTGACGAATAACAGTGTGATTTCAAATTAGTCAACTCCTAATTATTTCTGTGACTAGCAATGTTAACTAAATAATTGTTTTACTGAAATTTCAAACTTACTAGTAGCTTGAAAAAGTTTCCTTTTTATAACTATAAAAGTTTACATGCTCATTATAGAAATTTTAGGAAGTTACAGAGAAGTACATGCAAGTATATCTCTGAATTCCCACCAGCTAGAGGCAACATCTCTTGTTATTCTGGTGCATGCGTGTTTAAACATATATGATTACCAAACAAACAAACAAAAAAACCCAAACCCACTGCCGTCGAACGGATTCTGACTCATAGTGACCCTACAGACAGAGCAGAACTGCCCCATAGGGTTTCCAAGGAGTGCCTGGTGGATTCGAACTGCCAACCTTTTGGTTAGCAGCTGAACTCTTAACCTCCAAAACTAGGGTTATAATGAAAACAGTTTCTCCAAATCATCGTCTGCTCTTCTTAATCGAAAGCCACCTGCCCTCACCTATGGTGATCATGAAATCTCAGAGAAATCAGTTCTATACGTTGATATTCTGGTTCAGTTTAAGCAGCAAGGAGAAGCCGGAATGGAGTTAGGATGGGATGATGCCCAAATCAGGGTTTCACTGAACAGCCTCATTTACTTCATATAAAATGAATATTCAGACTATCAGACCAACTCATAATTAACTAAAGGTACAGAAATTCCAATGCCAAGTTATGGTTTTTAAAGCATCTGTTACTTTGGATTATCACCACTGCTGTTATATTCTATAAGCATGAAAACTGGGGAAGTGAAACAGCTTTGCTTTCCCCAAACAAAGTATTACGTTTGTTAGCTTGGTGTATTTTATCTTACTACTGTTGGATCCAACTTTTTCCCTTTTCCCATTTACTATTAGTTTTTTTCTCATATGGAAGTTTTTCTTGTAGGTTATTTTCAAATTCTTTTCAATCAGATTCAACAATTCCCCACCCTTTCTCAAAGAAATCAAAGACTTTCTCTTCCTTTAGCTACAAACAGTTTAAAGCTAACCTGATGCCACAATAATCTGAAAATAATCAACTTTAAGCTATTGCTTTTCTGCATCCTGCTTTTAAGTCAGAAGCAGCTGTTTCTAAAGAAGGCTGAGAACATTAATGTTTTCAGGTTAAAATCTGAACGTCGCCTGTTTCCCTTTCCGACACACGAGTGAATGGCGGCAACACCACTATCAAACCATCAAGAACACGGTGAGTAAAGACGAGGGAGCCAGGAATCTGTTCTTTTTCTTTGAAAACAATAAGAGCTCAAGTAAAAAATCAAAAAGTGCCTGAGCAGTCACTACGACAGGAAAGGTGAAGAGGACCATCTGCTGACGAACACAGAAAGAGGGGCCTACTGTTAGAAAACCATGGTGCACGGTGCTCCGTGGGCGCAGCCTTCCTCTCTGACAGAAGCAGGAAAACGTTTTTTTTTAGTTAAAGTAATGATGACTTGGAAGCTCCTGGAAGTCATGACAATTAGAGGTCACAAGTGGAAACACCAATATCATGCTTGGTCCTTTCAGGTTTAAATGAAACGTCTCAGGGAAATACCCCCACAAGGAAAAAACGCTACATTAAAGGGAAACAATGCTACACTGGAAGTCAAGTCATAATTGTAAAGGTGCACACATAAACCATCTCTCCTGGTTCAACCAAAAGGCTCCTCAAATAAAGGTGAAGGAATTTCTTCAGAGAATGAAAATCAGAATCGGGGTCACTTCCTCAGGCTTTTCTAAGAGTCCCAGCCCCTCCGACAGTCGGGCTCCACAGAGGGGCGGGGTGCAGACAGGAGAGGAAAGGTGCTATGGGCTTACCGGCGACACCCTCCTTGGGGAGGTGCGGGCACAGGTCTGCTGCTGCTGGCTGACACCAGCCTTCTTCCTCATAGTCAATAAACCATATTCATATAAAAGTTTACAAATCTGACAGAGTGATCCAAGTGGGAAGGGATTTAGGCTGTATGAGGCAAAAAACCTTGGTTCTAGGTGGGCAATTTATAAAATTAAGAGTGCAGTTACGGAAAGGGTGAAACAGACTCATCCTGTAATAAAGAGAAGTTTGAGTTTCCTTTCACAGACCACAGAATCAAACAATCTCAGAATGTCAGAATTCACCAAGTATAACCTCCTCTTTTAACGGACAGAAAAACTGAGGATCAGAGACGCTGAGTGACTAGCCAAAGTTAGTTTCAACTTTGATACTTAGGAGGTTTTAACTGGAAGTACCATGAGTACTTGTTAAGCTTTTAAATTTAAGCAAGAGCAAAAGGGAAGAAACGTATATAAATGAGCACACAACCAGACTAAGCGAGGCAAAGCAGGCAGTGGTAAGGACAACCTGAAACTCGGCTCAGCACTGCCTTTTAAAGTCTCTGCTTCTCCCCCACCCTGACAACCTGATCTGTGAGTAAACAGTTCAAGGATCTGAGAAAAATGAGGCTGCACTGCCATTTCAATGCAGACCTTGTAACTGTGGAAGTGCAGATTAATTTAAAAGTAATAAAGTACATGCTCCTTCCTTTCATCTCAGTCAGAGGTCAGCAGACAACGGCCTGCAGGCCAAATCCAGCCTGCCGCCTGTTTTTGTAAATAAAGTTTTATTGGAACACGGTCACTCTCATTTGTTTTTGAGTGTCTACGGCCACTTTTGCACAACGACAGCAGAGCCGACAGGGATCATGTGGCCCTTAAAGCCTAAAATGTTTACTATCTGGCCCTTTACAGAAAAAATTTGCCAATTCCTACTTTAAATAACAGTACAATATAATGACTAAGAACTTGAGTTTTGGAGTCAGCGGAGCTGAGTCTGAATATATGGTGGCTCTGCTACTTGACAGGCATGAAATTATGGGTAAGTTATTTGATCTTCCTGTGCCTCAGTTCCCTTATCTATAAAATGAGTATACCAAATCAACCAAACTCATTGCCATGGAGTTGATTCTGACTCATAGCAACCCTGTAAGACAGAGTAGAACTGCTTCATACGGCTTCCAAGGAGCGGCTGGTGGATTTGAACTGCCGACCTTCTGGTTAGCAGCTGAACACTTAACCACTGCACCACCAGGGCTCCTAAAACGGGTATACTACTCCTTAACTCACAAGGCTCCTATAAGATTTACAGTACTGTAGGTAAAACACTTATCCCTGCGTCTGGTAGGAATGAGGAATCAAAAAAATAGTAATTATTATAAAGACAGGAGAGTTAAGCCACCTCTATTCTTAAAACGTGCTTTTATTAAATGAGTGTCTCTTTCGAGAGTGGGATGAGGACAAAGCAAGAGGGTAAGTCACTAACAGATTAAGTGACACTTGCTCTTGGCTGATGTAAGGCAAAATGAGTAATGGATTGTGACTCCATGTTAAAAATTTTGATATTAAAAAAAAAAAAAAAAGGTTTTAATGAATGTAACCACAGTTGTTTTGAAAGGCTCTCGTTTAAGGCTCCACTGTCAAAAACCGAAGTAAAAAAGTAGGAGTGAGACGGAAGTCCCGATCACAAAGTTGAGAGTAGATCCCATGGCTGCCTCTGGCACAGTGCCTTATGCAGGAAAGGTACTTAATTAATTTTTGTTGAACTGAATGGACCACCTCTGCTCTATCCAATAGGCCTCATGAACACTGAAAGAGGCAAACGCTTGCTTCAGCATTTAAAATAACTTTATTAAATTAATAAACTAAAGGAGTGTTAGTCATACCTGTCTAAATTTAGCTCTTGCTTCCTTCTCCTTCATTCGTCCATGTGCAACCAAATAGTCAAACACTTCACCTACAATTGAGAGAAATAAGAGTAAGCAGAAGTCCTACTTCTCAGAATTAATATTCCCACAAATTGATAGTGTTTTGCTTTTAGCAATGTTTTAATTTTTATTTTTAAATATAAGTATGGAGATAGCCACAAAAATGTGAAATCTGAACTGAGCTAGCCGTTAGCTTAATTATAGGCATTTAAGTTCATCAATCTTTAAGTGAAAGAAAAGCCTTAAATTCTCATGTTTATATCATACAACTTTCATTTTAAAGAGTGTGCATTTTCAGTCTGCTTCAATAAAAACTGAGCAATGAAAACTGAAAGTTAAGACGGTTAAGTTATTTGTGTTAAAGGAGGGTACCCTCACTATAGGATCATGACAAAGGACCATTTCCTGAATACATTCATTCATTCAACAAATGTTTATTGAGTGCGTACCAAACTGTCAGGCACTGTTCTAGCTCTGGGGAAATACAGCAATGCACAGAACAATGCCCCTTACCTCAGGGCGTTTACACTCTATTTGGGGGAGGGGGGAAATAAACCAACAAATGAATATACAGTCTGCCAGATAACAGGAAACCCTGGTGGTGTAGCGGTTAAGAGCTACATCTGCTAACCAAAAGGTCAGCAGTTTGAATCCACCAGGCGCTCCTTGGAAACTCTATGGGGGCAGTTCTACTCTGTCCTGTAGGGTCCTTATGAATCAGAATCAGCTCGATGGCAATGGTTTTGGAAACCCTGGTGGCGCACTGATTAAGTGCTATAGCTGCTAACCAAAAGGTCAGCAGTTCGAATCCACCGGGCGCTCCTCCTATATAGGGTCGCTATGGTCAGAATCGACTCGACGGCAACGGGTTTGGGTTTTTTTTTTGGTCAGATAGTAAGTGCTATGGAGAAAAAGCAGGGAAAGAAATAGTGCGTGTGTGCGTGCGCAGGCGCACAGGCATTTTGCTGACTACTGGAGGGGGCAGTGAGCAGTGCAGTTATGTGGAAGAATAAGATTCTAGAAAGAGAAAACAGCAAGGAAGGCCTGTGGCTGGAGAAGTGTGAACAAGGGGCCGAGTGCGGACACGAGAGAACACAGCGTAGGAGCGGACATCACGAGGAGTGAGCCCAGAGGAGAGGAGAATGTGAAATGATCTGCCTCTTAGGAGGGTAGCTCTGGCTGCTACCGGGAGAAGGGGTGTTGGGCTCAGGGAATGGCAGGGAGACCAGCAGGAGACATTGCATCATCAAGGCAGGAATGACTGGGGCTGGATTAGAGTGGGAGTGGCAGTGTGGTGGGAAAGGAAAGCCCATACAATTCGCTGACAGACATTTAGGTGGTAGCTTAAAAACCAAAACCAAAACCAAACCCGCTGCCGCCGAGTCGACTCCGACTCACAACGACCCTACAGGACCAAGCGGAACTGCCCCATAGGGTTTCCAAGACCCTGCAGGACAGAGCAGAACTGCCCCATAGGGTTTCCAAGGAGTAGCTGGTGGATTCAAACCGAGGACCTTTTGGTTAGCAGCTGAGCTCTTAACCACTGCACCACCAGAGTATTAATTTAGAGAATTTTGATACAAAATGTTTTGGGGAAAGAAGCAAGTCTACTTCATAAAGACAAGGCACACTTCCATCAGCTTAGTGCCAATATGGAACTAAAATATTCTGACACTTAACAAAGCTTAGTTCCAGAGCATAACTTAAATAGATATTTTTGAAGAAACAGTCACTCTGAATTACACATGAACATTTCTTTCTTTTAAACTCTGAACCCTAACTCTGAACAACTGAATTTTAAATAATGGATGGCACGCATATTTTCATAAGATTGCATAATCTTTTAAAAGGCATTACGTATTGTTAGTTTACACTATACGTTAGTTTATACACTAAGATTATGAAGTTAAATGTGATAGTATTTTCTAAGTGAATGACCTTTCTATTTGCAGAAGAGTACACCGTGGCAAACAAGCGGTTAATCAGTGAAAACGACTAAAGATTGTGCATATCATATCAAAAAGTTCTGACTTAAAAAAAAATTAATGGATTAAACCCACTAGCTGTTGTAGAATAACACAGATAAAGTCCACGCCTGTCAATATAAATTTTTATTTTTTATAAGTTCAAGTGCAATATAAACCTCTTAAGAGAATAAAGTTTGGATGGAAAGTTTCTGGAACCATAAAGCCACATTCACAATCTAAGTTATAAATCAGGAATTCAACACAGGTCTCTCTTCTTTTTTCTTTCCCTTATTAAAAATGTATTAACACTCAGATTAAGCAGCAGAACTGAAAACCTCTAAAGGCTATTAGAGGAAAAATGACAAAAAAGCAAGAACTAGCTCTTTGCGCCCAGGCCACACTCGGGAGCCAGGGCAGCACGACCGTGTTGAGTGGAAAGAACACTGATCAGGCGGTTCAGAAAGCTAGGGATCCGTCAGCATGGAACACACTGTGTGTGCTTTAGTTTCATCTGTAAAAATTAGACACCTGCCCTCAATCATTTCTAAGAATCCTCCCAATTCTAAAATTCTATGATTCTACCAGATCAAACAGACCAGGCTGGGGGGAATGGATAGTCAATTTAATGAAACCGTTATTGTTCACAATGACAAGCGCATTGTTAATAAAACAGATATCCTGAGGACCGACAGTGCTCGGCTGAGCTGACTGAAGTAAACAGCCCCGAACAATAAATCACTGTGGTTACAATGCTGAGCAACGCACTGAGCTTGCCAGGTCTCATGGCCAATCGGTGTCACTAGCTGGATGGACCGACCCCATGTCTGTCTGTCCCAAAGCCCATCTTCTTTCTACTAAAACTGAGTGCTTCTCAGATGTTTCTGTCTTACCCCTATACCCTGGGTACCTAAAGTAGCCGTGAAGAGAAGCTGTGACTGACTGACCCATCGGAAGAGGCGCTATGGTTCCACGGTACCAGAAGGCAGGGGCTCCGGGCCTGGCGGTGTGACCGGGGAAGACTCGCAGCTTCCGCTTCCTCAAGGGTAAAATCCTATTACTCACAGCCTGGCTCCAGCAGAGTCCCTGTGAAGCTCCAAGGGTGCCCAGGCCAGAGAAAGCACCTGGGCACTGCAGAGGCCACACAAGTGAGGAGGTTATGAACGCTACTCTGGGCTGCTGACCCAAGATGAGTAGAAAGTACTAGAAATCCAGAGATCTACGGTTCTGCAATTAACTGTCAGCATGCCCTACTACCCCTCAAGTTTGAAAATTCCAACTACATCTCCAAACCACACATTTAAAATATGAAACATACAACTAATAAGGCGTTAGGGGTATGAAGAAATCATGTCAGAGGTGTGCCCCCTATAACTCACTTTTCCCCACGACCGGTTTAGACTCTTATTTAATGGGCTAACTCATTACAACGAGGCTGTGGTTTAACTTTCTATCTCCAGGTTTTGCAACCTGGAGCAAAGTGCTAATGATGAAATAAAACTGCTGTAATCAAAACTGTTAAAGCTAGACTGGTAGCTATGATGTGTCTCCAGCTGTTTATCAGTTCATAAATTCAGTGCAGTTCTTACTGGTTGAGTATCTGCTACGTGTCGGGCACTGTGCTAGCGGCAGGGACTACACAAGGATGAGAGAGAAAGAGTCTGCCCTCCAGCAGCTCCGAATTCACACGGTCCAAACTCTACAAGCCCAGCCCAACCTCAGCCCCTAACACGAGAGTTTTTATAAAAGATAGAGGCTATATACATGCAATTCAGAAAAATGTCTACATTTATACAACCTTGTGGGCAAATAACTGTTGTTGTTATTCTTAGGTGCCACTGAGTAGATTCTGACTCATAGTGACCCCATTTGACAGAGCAGAACTGCCCCATAAGGTTTTCTAGACTGTAATCTTTACAGAAGGAGACTGCCAGGTCTTTTCTCCAGCGGAGCTGGAGTGGGTTTGAATTTGCTGGGTAGGTTCAAACTACCAACCTTTTGGTTAGCAGGTGAGCGCTTAACTGCTACACCACCAGGGATCCTTTGGCAAGTAATTACTAGCTCTTAATCTTTATTTTAAGGAAATCTAATCATATGCACTAATCATAACCATCATTTCTGGCCTTGGGATATACGGACACCAACGACACAATGCGGTCATTTTTATTTCAAAAAGGTCGATGCACTAATATATTTAAAGCTTGGAATATACGGATATTATCAGTGAATGAAGCAAATTGTGAAATACTTAACAGTAACCCACGGAAGGGATGAGAAGCTTCACCACCTGCCTCCTAGGCTAGTGTATTGTGACTCTGGATAGTAAATGAAACTTAACAATTATCCATATGGACAATCTCCTAGAAGGGAAGAAAGAAAAAATCCCCCAAATATGTAAATATTCTTACCTCCACTTGCATATTCCATGATTAGGTAGAGGGTTTTTTCCGTTTCAATGACTTCAAATAACTTTACTGGGGAAGGGGGAGAAACGAGGAGAAAAGAGATGAACGCCTACACGCACACACCAGTGTACATAAACTGCAACTATGAAAACCAATCTTAACAGCTGGTCCTTTTTAAAAAAATGCTTTTAAGGAATTCTATCATATATTACAACAACAGGGAAGATTTTAGGAAAGCATGGGATTCCACAAAAATAAAGGTTATTTCTGGGTGCTCAAACAGTGCACCGTCCCTGTGCACAGCCGAGTACACCTTCTCCACTTCCCTCCACCCTTGTCCCTCACTGCGTCTGTCTGGGCCAGTCCCCCTCCTAGCAGCTCATCCTCCGCCAAAGCAGGCTGAACCCCCGAGTCTTCATTCAGCCTGCAGGGGCCACGGGGGTCTGCTCTGGTCCCTTCAGTAGAGCTCTGGGTCACAGAGAACAAGGCCCTTTGGGACCACCCTGAAGCCGAGATGGAAAGAAGTAGCAGGGACTACACTGCAATTAACTGAGAAAACTTTTCAAAAAGAACTATTTTTCAATGAGTCGGTGGGCCTTGCTACAGCAGTCCCTTGTTGGAGACAGAAATAATATTTCTATTACTGCTAATTCATAAAACCATAACACATCAATTAGAAATGCATACATTTTTATATGGAATGGAAGTAAATCTCTGAAGCTATCAAGTTATCAATTTGCATGCTACCTTACTTGGATAATATATATTTTAAAGTTAAACTTACAAAAAATGAGGTAAATGCTAATCTTTTATATTGCAGGCTATTTTTTGATGCTTTAATGCAGTATTACCCACTACTGTTGAGTCAAGTTCGACTCATAGTGACCCTACAGGATAGAGCAGAATTGCCCCATAGGGGTTCCAAGGCTGTAATCTTTACGGGAGCAGCTCGCCAGGTCTTTTCTCCCTTGGAGCTGCTGGTGACTTCGGAATGCTGACCTTTCAGTTAGCAGCCGAGTGCTTAACCACTGCGCCACCAGGGCTCCTTCAATGCAGTATTAGACAAAATGCCTATCACATAGGATTTCATTGATAAATATGTCCGTCTAAATGATGACTAAAACTCTATAAACCATTCCCTAGACTGATATATTCAGACTGTCAAGGAAAACTAAAGAAAGTTAAGGCATATGCGCCAGCAAACAATTAGCATATAAATAAAACTCTTCTAAAATTCAATGCGAATACTGGCTCTTCTGGACAACTATTTCAATGTAATCGGAATTTTAAAGATTTGAATCCATTACCAAAGATATATCATTTAACAGTAAGCAGACAATTCCGAAAAGAATCAGGGCACAACTTCAGAGTCGGAATCAACCCGACGGCAATGGGTTTTTTATAAACATACCACATTTTACTGACTCTAAGACATATAGTCTTTCACATTTTAACTAACATCCCTGATATCAGGATGACAGCTTCTTACAATTAATTGGTAGTGTTTTTCTTTCTTAAACTGGGAAATCAGCTGCTGTCGAGTCAACTCTGGCCCCGACTCATGGTGTCCCTGTGTGTGTCAGAGTAGAAGTAGTGTGCTCCAGAGGGTTTTAAGTGGCTGATTTTTTTAGAAGTAGATCGCCAGCCTTTCTTTAGAGGCGCCTCTGGGTGAACTCGAACCACCAACCTTTCAGTTAGCGGCTGAGAGCTTAACTGTCTGCACCACCCAGGGACCCCTCTTCCTTCTTCCTGCTATGTAGTACAGTGCCTTTTACAATGACGGAGGCTTAGATCTGGTGGAAAAGGGTATAAGCCTTTATGTATAAATATACAATCAAAATAAGAGCTCTGTATAAAAGCTTTCTCCCTCCTGTGGGTCCAAAGTCGTCAACACTGGCTTCCATTCTTGTGCCTCCAAAATTCTCGATGATGTCTTAACATTAAATATCATCTCCGCCACTTCCTATAGTAGAATTTGACAGTAAACTGACATGCATGGCTGTGTAAAGAGCAATTTCACTCCTGAAGCAGTATTCTTAGATTGCAGGAGTTACACTGTATACTAATAAGAGTTCTATTACAATGTTTGCAGGACCAAAACTCTCACTGGGTGTATACAGTGGGGTCAGTGCTGAGTAACACCACATCTCCATCTTGTTTCTGCAGTTACGACGCGGCAGAACCAAGGCCCTCCCTCATCCTCACGTCTCCTCTCCGTCTCCTCTCCTCGCAGCAGCTAGCACAGAGCTGTTAACATAGAGGGCAGGTAAAACATCTGCGCTTCATGAAACAATTCATACCAAAATGCCTTTAGATGCCAAGTGCCCCTTACGTCTTCAAATATGATTCACTGTACCAAGGGTTTTCTTAGGTACACAGTCACAGCAAGAAGTCTGACAACTTTGAAAATCTTAACTCCAGGACTTACTATAATTTCCTTCTATCTACTAGTTAAATACAATTTAATTATGATAGTTTCTAATACTGTATTTTTATGCAAATAACACATGCCTTCTATGTTTGCCAACTGCTCCCTCCCCCGGCAAAGTATTATCATAACTAAAATTAATTTCAAAAATTAATTTTTAATTAGCATAGCAGCACTTATGAAAATACCTCATGGGAGGAAGGAGCGGTTGGCAAACAAACGTAGAAGGCCTGCGTTACTTGCATAAAATGCAGTATACTAAAAAATCAGAAAATTATTGTTAATCTGATTACAGATGTTTCTATGCATTAAAGCTTTAAATTCAAGTACATAATACCTAAGCTTTTGCTCTGTCTTCAGAAATTTCAAAAAGCTAATGTAAAGGATCGACATCGTGTGTATGTATTTTTTAAAAAGTGTACCTGGGCTGGAAGGAGGGAAGGAATCTCCTCCTATCACTCCTAGAACGCATGTTCAGCTTTATGGCATACCTTCAAGAATGCATTTAAGACTCAAAAGTATATAAGAAAGCAGAAAGTACCTATGTTTGGATGATTTAAAATCTTCATTATTCTTACTTCTCTGAAGAGCTAAAAAAAAGCACACACAATCCCCCCAACACAAGTTATTAAACATTACATTCCACTGTTGCAATATAAAGTTAAATTTTTCTTACATAACCAATTCATTGCAAATGGTTAGTAGTCTATATCTAAGACTAATATGAAAGGCTGGGCTAACTCTGAAATAGCTTATAACCTATTATTAAAATGGTATTAACAAATGCTTCAATTTTATAGTATGAAAAATAGCAGAGGTCTCATAAAGGGAGATGACAGCACAATCTCAACTTTACTTTGCTATCTTGAAGATGTAAGATCAGACTTTGGCAAAAATTGTTTGTGATTAAACAGCCTGATTCGATAAAGCTTCTACTCAGGGGTTCAGTGAGTCAAAACTTGTATGGTCCCAATGAACCACACCATGAGACCTTAGATTGACAATTCCAAATCATCTCTTTCAGAAGACTGTGAACAAACTACCCTTGGGAGATTCTTATTGAAGAAGGTAGGTGATTTAGCAGGAGGTTGTGGTAGACTGTTACATCAACGACCCTCAACAAATCATCAGAGACACGGACTTGGTTGTGTAACTTGCTTTGGCCAACAGGACATTAACAAACATGCAGCAAGCATAGGCTGGTTAAAATGCCTGGGTGTTGGGGCTTGCTGTCTTGAAAGAATGTCGCTGCTATGTGAAGAAGCCGGTCTAGCCTCTTGAAACCAGAGGTAGAAAGAGAGGCCCCAATGTCCCAGTGAGTCCATCGCCCACCCCTGCAACCTGCCAGCTGGGTGTTGAGGTAAGACTTGTCACTGCCCAGTCATCCCACAGAACAAGGAGAAATGATAATTCACTATACAAACAAGTGCTGCGAATTCTGAGGAGGGTCAGACTATCACGGCCTGGGCTCACACAAGAAGATGTCAGAAAATCACAGAATTTTAGAGGCCATCTTACTCAACACGCTTGCAAATAAAAGAGAGGAAAAGATCCTCCAAGGTCCTGCCATCCTTCTGTGGTGAATCTCGCCAGAATGAAGTCTCCCAACACCCAGGATTTTACAACCACAGGAAGCAAGAGCTGGGAAGAGCCTTGGGAGATGAGGAGAAGCTGGTTATGTCAGAAGGATGATGGTGAATCCCAGGGCTCTCCCGCACTTGTCCCTGTGCACTGTGTCTGATCTGGAACTGAACCCGCATCTAACACTTGTGAGCCTGGGGGAATGGACACGGCAGGATCTGACTGACAATCTGAATCAGAGCTTACAAAATGGGATCTGATGACTAACCCTCCCTGTCTAGAATACGGACTCATCTTCCAGGGCAGGAGCACTTCACCTCCAACATCAAGGCCTCCTGCTGGGATTGCAGTCATTCCCACGTTTTATGTTCAGAGATGACAGAAGACAGCCACCCACATCCCTGACAACCATTAATGCTTGAGTTATTTCTTAGCTTCTCTCTGTCAAGCTAAACCTTCACATGTAAATTGTTTTCCAATTCGCTATAGCTGAATCTCTAGGTATAATCTGGATCTCCCAATTACTTCCACAACTGCTAAATTAGAGGAGCTCCACGCTGGATGCAATATCGATACAGCTGAGAACACTGCACTCAGAATGAAGCCCTGACCTTGGCCATGGCAGCCCTGCTTCCCCTCTACCTCCGTTCCAGCCACCCTCCTCCTTTCAGTTACTAGAACATATTCGGCTCTTTCCTTCCTTAGTCTTCTCTCCTTTACACCCTTCAAATCAGGCAGATTCTCCGAAAATCTTACCGAAGTAGGTCTCCTCTGTTTTACATCATAGCCGTCTGTTCACATCTTTCCTAGAATGTCTTTCAAGTTGTGATGATACATTTTGAGATGCTCGTTTACTGTACACTTGAAACCAAGCCTGGTACACAATTTGATCGATAATTTGGTTGGGAAAGAATTCTAGGTTAGAAATAATTTTCTCTCAGAATTTCAAACGTTTTGGTCCAATTTCTTCTAGCTTCCAGTGTTGCTAAAAAGTATGATGTCATTCTGTTACAATCCTTTGTGACCTACGTTTTCCTCTTCCTTCTCCTTAACTCTGATGTATTTACATTTTAATGTATCACAGATTAAATATCTATAGTACATTAGCATTCAGTCCAGATATATCGTGGGTCTTCAGTCATTTAGTATACTGGGCACTCACTGCGACTTTCAATCTAGAAATTTCTGTACTAGAGTTCTGGGAAATTGCCTTCTGTTAGACTTTGATAATTTCCCTTCCTGTCCTCATTCTCATTACAACTCCTCTTTATTACAAACTGGATCTCCTAGGTAGGTCTTCCCATCTTTATATCTCAATTTTCATCTCTCTGAGTTTTTGTACTACTTTCCAACAGATTTCCTTGACTTTATCTTCCAATCCTTTCACTGAATTTATTTCTGATACTATCATTTACTCCTGTTCCCATGGTCCTTTTCCAAGGCATCCTGTTCTTCTTTCATGAATATAATTGTCTTTCTCTCTTATTAAATCTTTGAAAACATCAATTATAATTTTTTCAAAGTAGTGTTGTTTTCTCTTCTGGTTTTTCTTCCTTGCTCCCCTTCCACTCCCCCCCCCCCACCAGTTTATTTTAGTCTCCGGTTATCCTCAAATATCTCAAGATTCTTGGCTGTCCTTTCATATTAAAACAGTGGACTGAATACTATGTATGTGAGGGCTGGACCACAGGAAGCCTGGGCAGAGATTAAGTAATTTCACTGAAAGACACTCAAATGTCTGTATCTAAAAAAGTTCACTTAAGTCAATCAACTTTCCCAGAGAAGAATCCTTAATCTCCGTGTAAGACAATATAAAATTATAAATAGTAAGTGAACCAAACTAACCACGACACTCTGAGGATCAAAACAACAAGTTTGTGTGTGTGTAGGTGGACTTGGCACTGCAGATCAGTGGGGAAAGGAGAGGCCAGGAATAAGTGATGGCACATATGAAAACCCATGAAACTGGATCCCCACACCTCACAACACACTCAACTGCCACGTGGATTAAAGATGATAAAAACTATAAAAAAAATTTAATACAATCATCTACATGACCCCAGGTAGGGAAGAATTTCCTAAAGAAGACACAAAAGGTACGAACCATATAAGACTGATAAATTCAACTGCATTAAAATTAAGAACCTCTACTATTCATCAAAAGACAACATCGAGATAGTGGAAAGACATACCACCAAATGGAAGAAGATACCTGCAACACATATAGAATCTAGAATTCATAATGAGTCTCTAAAATGATAAAGAAAAAAAAAAAAAAAACTCACCAGGAATGGAACAAAAGACTTGAGAAGGAACTTCAAAGAAACAATAAAACATGAAAAGATATACTGCCTCATCAGTAATCAGGGAATGTAAATTAAGACCACAATGAGATATCATTTTTATATCTACCAGATTGCCAAGAATTAAAAAATCAGACAAAATCAAGTTTTGATGAGGATGGTACATTATTTGCACTCTTTCTTATATGCTACTGATGGGAATGTAAATTAGAACAACTGTCTTGGAAGCAATCTGGCCTCTAAGGAATTTGAGGATATACACACCTGTGAACCAGGCATTCCACTACTGGGGACATGTCCTTAAGACACTCTTGCACGCATGCATCAGGAGGCACACAGGACAATTCCTCACAGCAGTGCTTGTCATACAAACAGCTAAAGCAACCCAAATGTCCCTGAACTACAGACTGGGTAAGTTGTGGCCTATGCATACAATGGAATACTACACATCCTGAAAAGGAACATAGTACTGAAAGTGAATTACAGCTAAACACATCAACATGGAACACAATTTGGGCAAAAGAAAGCATGCTGCAGACAAATACATACAGTATGATTCCATTTATATAATGCTTAAAAACTTTATACTATACTGATGAGGTATCCATATGTGGTAAAATTATAAAGACATTTAAGAAAATAATAAACAAAATTCTTGTTAGTGGTTACCTGGTGGGTGGGAAGCGAATAACCAGATTGGGGAGGGGCACAATATATGACTACACAATATAGGATATATATGATGTAAAGGTATTATTGATGATCCATTTCTTGAACCAAATGGTATATAGGTGTTCATTTCACATACATATTTATACCGTAATTATGTAAAAGGTGACTGCTGATATTTGATGTATCGGTGGCAAAACTTCCAGTATCACAGCAACACGCAAGCCACCACAGTATGACAAACTGACAGATGTGTGGTGGAAATTACAGTCAGTATTTAATGAAAATTAAACTGAATTTTAAAAAATTGCTTAGGTTTAGCTGATTAATAAAAACTAAGCTGTTTTTAAAATATTTAAATAGAAGTAGCAGCAATTTGGATTTTTATAATCAAATATTTCAAAGACAAACTAAGAAATCCTCCCACCCCCCAAAATCCAAGATTCTGGTGGTCAACATTCCTAAGATCAGGGCAATACCAAGAAAAATAAATCTAGTGTTAAAAAAAAATAAATTTAGTACTTCCAAAATGAATTCCACAGATGTCACTGGGTGTCCACCTCCTGCACAGCGAACTTTAGTATGCTTCTTTGCAGTCCCTCCCAGATGGAAGGTGATGAGACTGAGTTCTTCCAAGAGGTCAGGTGTGAGGAAAGCTATGTGAGGTTATAGATTTAGGTTCTAACGCGGGTTCAGTCGCTTACTTATCAGATGGCTGAACAAGCTACAAAATCTCAAGAGAGCTTCAGTCTAGGCATCCATAAAATATAGATTAAGGACAGCTGCTCCACAGGGCTGTTGTGAAAACTACATACAATGATGTAGGTACAGTGTGCACATCTATTCAGAATCTGACCTCTGGAGCCACTACCTGGTTCTGCCTGGCTCCACCATTCACCAAGTGAGTGATTCTAAGAAATGACCTGTCCTCCTTGTCCCTCTGTTACCTATGACTGAATGAGACACGACAGGTGGAGTGTTTGGAACAGTACCTGGCACACAATAAGCACTGGACATGCCGTTGTGATTCTGGCTGTTGTTGTTATTACTACGATTCTCTCCCAAAGTCTAATCTGTACCCAGTTCTTGACTTCCTGCAAATGGGTCCATGCTATGCTCTATGTTTAGCCCATTTAAGATATTTGGGCCTTTGTTGACTTTTCTAAAATATCATAACAAATCACTGAAAGAATTAAAAATAAATTCTGATGTTCTCATTTAGAATTCACAATCTACTTTAAATATCAAGGCTACATTATTTCTTGCCAAAACAAAAATAAGTTTAGCAATAAAGAAAGTTCCCTATAAAAAGCAAAAACACTGAAGCTATATTTTCTTCTATTTCTAAATCTTTCGAAATCTAAAAATAAGTAAATACATATTTTTTTCTCAATAGTCTAAATATGTATAATCAAGAAGAGCCTTAGACTTCATTTGCCACCCCTGTCTGTTTTACCCGACCAGATCTAGTACACGTATCTGAATGCAGGCCCCAGAGTATAAATAACAGGACTGTAATGCCCACTTCTGTTAATGGCCTGAACTGTTAGTCTGCTAACAGATCAATGTAAGACTAGGAGAGGAAAGAGGAAAATAATGAGGAAGGAAAAAATGAGCAGAGGTGTTCAATGAAAAAAGAATCCCAAATGTTTTGTGTGTCACCCAATGAGAAGGAAAAAGTCTTTGCTGTCGTTGTGTGCCATCAAGTCGATTCTGACTCATAGCACTCCTACAGGACAGAACAGAACTGCCCCATAGGGTTTCCTAGGCTGTGATCTTTACAGGCACAGATTGAGACATTCCTAGGAAGAGTTCCAGGAAACGAGAACAGAGAGAGGGGAACAGTCAGCAGTAGCAGTTGAAGCCGTCTGTAGGCTCGGGACACTTGGGGAAGGGGCCATCTTTAAAGCAGATTACCTTTGGGAAGAAAAAGCAAGAAATTAAGAACGCTGAGGGGAAGTGAAAAGGGCCTAGGAGCCACTCTCACCTGGGCTGGGCCCTTGGAATCACTACGCCCCCACCCGAGACCCATTAAACCAGAACCTCCACACAAGACTGTGATGTACAGCCACGGCCAACAACTACTGGTTTACAGAGGCCCAGACAGCCCAGTGGTGGCGGCAGTAAACGTGATTACACTGCAGACCACATGAACAGCATGAACTGGTTCTCTCTGCCTTAAGTGACACAGTTCTCCGATTCGTCCCACGGCTAGGATTCTCTGGGATACCAAAGCAGGCCACCAGTGCTGCAGAGCTCTAAGCATCACAGTGGCACCCAAGCAAGCACCAGCTGTAAAACGAAAACAGACTGAGGTGGGGGTAAGTAGGATTTCCCCACAAAAGACCCTGATAAAAACAAACCTATAGTCAATACTTCCATACACTGGGAGTCTACTGTGTATTTTGAACATACTTGACTGTTCATTTTTTTTCCCTGTAGTAAATTTGATTAAATTTTTAAAAACACAGGGATTTCCCTTTCTCTCACTAAAAGCCTATGGACAATAGTTCAATCATACTAAAAAAAGGCTTACTACTGCGTCAGCAGCATCAACTTAGAAGGATGGATTTCTTTACTGAAGGGCTTTGTCCCTGTCGTGGTGAATATTTTAACTAGATGAAGACATCCTTACCTAATTTAGACAGCACCTAACTACAAGTGATAGCTAATACAAAAGACTTGTTATTCAAAAATATCTCCAAAGACTGGAATTATAGCAGAAAACCAATCAGCAGAAATCAAATTCTGGTAAGAAAAAAAATCAATTTCAAGTATGGAATAAACTAGGCCTCTCTTGAGGGGGATTCCTGTGGATGGCCAAAGAGGCTGAGGGTGTTTACTCTGGAGAAGGAAGATCAAGAAAACCCAAAACAGCATAATGGAGTAGAAAGAGCCCATATTTTGGAATCAGACCAAGATCCACATCTTCGCTCCATCACTAACTAGCTAGAGAGGCTGACCACATCAACTTCTCAGTCTGTTTCCTCACTGGAAAGCGGCGATGTAATGACACCCACCTAACAGAGTATGAAGATGGAAAGCGACCTACTAGACTAGCCAGTGTGAAAAGGTCCACACTCTAGCATCTAATAATGATGATGAACTTCTATGTAGCTAATATAAAATAGCAACCCTCCCAAGCTACTTACTACAAGTTCTAAATCATCTGAAATGTGACCAACAGGCTCTCTTTTGGAGTTATTTATTTAATGCTCGAGTCACTGCTGACTGCACCTAACACAGGATGCCTGCCCACATATCATCACTTATTAGTTACAGGACTTTGGGCAGGTTACTTCATCTTCCTGGCCTCCCCTTCCTGAATAACAGAAGCTAACTCATGAAATTTTAAAGATTAAACGAGCTAATACAGCTAAAATCACTCAGGATAGTGCCCAGCATATTCTAAATGCACAAATGTAAGTAGTTATTATTACAGAATCAGTGTACTACAATTCAGTCCTACAGAAGAACTAGCCAGAAACTAACATTCAGTTCTGAAGATTTACTTATTTCCTATGGGGGAAAATTTTAAACAAACAAAAAACACTCTCCATTCCCCAAAAACAAGCAAACAAGAAACTACTATTCAGCAGGGCACACAGTAATGGCAAACACTCAGATCCTCACTGTGCACCAGGCACTGTTCTAAGCTTGCAAATGCTAACTTAACTCTCACGACAACCCAATGAGGTGCTGTCATTATTCCCATTTTGCAGATGGGGAAAGGCAGACACAGAGAGGTTAAGTGACTTGCTCAAAAGCACACAGCTAGGCATGGGGGCAGCCTGGATTTGAATCCACGCCATCTGGCTTCACGGGGTTCCTGATGTCACTCTCCTTCCCTCTTTCTGTTGTCCGTCTGCTCCCAAGCCTGGCAGACACCGGTAACTCCGGATGGCCTACACTTAGTGTACTGCACGCTCTAATACAGCCTAATATTCCTGAACAGACAAACACTTTAGGAAGTCAGCCATGACTTGCTTCTCAATGACATCCTCAGATCTAATACAACAAGATGCAGCGAGGTTACAAAGTATATGACCAAATCAAAACTAAAAAACGACTTCGTAAAACCAACAAGAAGGCTAACATTTTTGTTATTCCTGCTGCTTTCAAATCCAGTATAGGAAGGCAACGTTAGAGTTCTTTAAAGGCTTCTCTAAAAGACGTTTATGAATGGAATAGTGTCCCAGGAATAGCATTTACAAGTTGAAAAGCACAAAAACAGTAGAGAGAAATAAATCTCTTACTAGAACCTAACATTTAACTTAATAGCTGGAAAAACAAAAATGAAAAGAGACTTGTCGGTAAAAATAACTTCATTATGCAAGTTTACTTACACACACTTAGCACACGTTCAACTTGATGTGCAAACCCGAATACTGTGAACATTTTAAAACTGACACCGTACTGACACCTGCGCTCGAACCCCGCCTGAAGGAGCCAGTCCACGTTTGGTAGTTATGGGACAGAAAGACCTGGATACTGTCGACGGCAAAACGCTCCTTAAAGCAGATGCTAGTATCCAAGGCAGTGCCGACGCTATAGGGATTTCAGTCACTGCATTCATGAGAGCTGTTCCTGACGCAAGCTGGCACGGTCGTGAGTGGTGCTGAGGAAGACAACAGGCTGCAAGAACTACTACCCCAAAGGGGAGTGGCAAAAGACTCCATGTACCTCCACCCTGGTAACATTTTCCCATGGAAAGGGAAACGCAAGTAAAAAAGAATTTGAGAGAAATATATACAGTCTGTTTCTTATTTACTTTATAAGAATACGAATTTATACCCATGATTTTAAACAATGCCCTGTAATCTGAAAATATTATACTTGTCAAGTTATTTAACTTGGACAGATCTGGCTTTATCGTCAGTCTTTTGGAGATAATTAGTACCTGAAGTACACTACAAACAAATCTTTACTATTAGGTTATGATGAGCCAAAATTCATGCTGGTGCAAACATGCGTAATCACACTATCCAGCTAACCAGACAATCCATCATATACAAAGTTACAATGATGTGACAAACAGTAATTTTTAATAATAATAACAATAGAAAGAATAGAGCAATTAAATACTATAACCAAAAATAATGAAGAAAGAAAGGAGGGAGGAAAGAAGGAAAAAAGGGCTACAACCTAAAACCAACTCAAGACAACACTACGACAAAGTCCTTCCTGGGAACCAGCAGGAGTCCAATGATCTGCGGGTACACATGAACAACAAAAGACTGGAAACATCACAGAATACCGGATCAGAGCCCTCGATAAGCTTCTTTATGTTCCTGTCAGTTTACGAGCACCGAATTTTAGTCACCCCTAATTTACTTACTAGTACCAAGGCCCTAGATACACGAAGAAATGAAAGTTTACGGAAATGGGGACCATCTACTCTTCAAAGCAAAGGCCTTCAATTTTTACATCTGTCCCAGGGTCACTTCGAGAAGCCTGGAGGCCCACTATGGGCTGCAGATCACAAAGAACCACTTACTTAAATACCATTTTTAGTGCAAGATAAAGGTTATCTCCCACCCACCTCACTGACACTAACAGGGACAAGGCCTCAAAATTACTGTAAGTGGAAAATACCCAGCCCTCTCCAGGAAAGCACAGGGGCAGTCCGCTTATCCTACAGCTTACACCGGTGCACTGCTCCTCTGCTTCAAGCCCTTTTCTCTGCAGTATTTCATTAACGCTTACATCCACCCTGAGAAGATGAAATCATCTCCATCTCACAGGTCACAAACTCGAGGCCCAGAAAACTTAGGTGACGTGCTCAAGGTCGACTCAGGTATTGTCTAAGTGGCAGAGCCAGGACTTCAGTTCAGATTTCCTGTCTGCAGTTCAAGGTCTCTGTGCCCCACACCTACCGCAGGCCAAATCTAGAAACCCAACGAAGCTACGTAAAAAGCTCTGTAAACCATAAAGCACTAGCAGGGTCTTACAATGAAGATTACTGATTATCTGCCGCTGCCCCCGACACACCTGGCCCACACCCGCCTTGAGCAATTCAATCTCTACTGTGGTCCAGGCATCAGGATTTTCAAAGGTGCCCAGGTGAGTCCAAAACGCACCAGGGTGAGAACTTCTGAAGTCAGATGATACAGAGAGCGAGACTGCTTTCAACACGTTTCTCAACTCTCATTCAGGTCTACTTCTACATTTTCCTTCAGATTAATCAATCTCCATTCCAAAACTGGCCATGGTCCGACTTCAAAGATCTCAGTGTTATCTATCAGAAAGACGTACAAATCTGCATGATACCAATTACGTAAAAATATTTTCTGTTCTGTTTTATTTAACGAACTACTCTAGCTGATATTTAGAATGTTAAATTTAAAAGTACAGCCTTCAATTTGTGCTACTGGGAACATTTAAAATCCACTGTCTTCAACTGAAGGAAAAAACTGAACCACTTTTTAAAGCTGTTAGTTGCCGTCAAGTCGATTCCAAATCATGGTGACCTCACGTATGTCAGAGTAGAACTGTGCTCCATAAGGTTCTCAAGGCTGTGAACTTTTGGAAGCAGATCGCCAGGCCTGTCTTCCAAGGTGCCTCTAGGTGGGCTGAAACTGCCAACCTTTCGGAGCGCTTAACTGTTTGCACCACCCAGGGACTCCCCACTTTTTAATACAATACCATACTTAAGTTGCATTCGCTTTAGGAATAGGAAGGTTTACTGCACTAAACAGAATAACCCACTGCCATTGAATTGATTCACAGCAACCCTATAGGACAGAGTAGAACTGCCCTAGGGGGTTTCTCCGAGGCTGTAATCTTTATGGGAGCAGACTACCACATCTTTCTCCCACGGAGCTGCTGGTGGGCTCAAACTGCCGACCTTTTGGTTCACAGCCAAGGACTCAGGCACACGCCACCAGGGCTCCTTCACTAAATGTAATAAATAAAAACGACACTTGAGGTATTTAAAGGACAGATTAGACGGCAATGAGCAGTGAGAATCATTTTTAAGATACTGGATACTGGGCCAACCTTACCTTCTGCAGACTTGTTGGATTCAACTGGGTTTTGTCAATTATTTTTATTGCGACCTAGAAAAAAATATATTAATAAATATTTACAGATTTAAAGAGTTTGGTAATTACAGACTAACTGGTTTTGTAATGCCCAGACATTATGAAAAAGCAAGCAAACAAATCAAACAAAAAATCCAAAGCTCAGTTAGTCATAATAAGCAATATTTTATCATTGAAAGTAAGGGCTTTGTATAAATAAGGGTGTTGTTGTAAGATTTTTATGTTTAAGTCACTTATAAACAAGGGAATTCCCTCCAAACCCAATAATAAATAAATAATTGAGAAGGATTATACAATGAAAATATTCTAAAACACATGGCAATACAGCAGATTTCTTCTTCACTATTTACTGATGCTTTAATTTTCGCCGTCTCTCGGATCTGAGGGCAGGCATGATGGCTGTTGTGTGGCCCAGACTGCCTCTTCGAGTGTCTTGCACATAGTAGGAGCTTGATAATTAAGTGTATGAACAAATAAGTTGGTACAGAATCTGAAAACTTTAAAACATTCTATGTTTTTAAAATTACTGAAGCCCTTCAGGTGGTTAAAGAAGTAAAGGGACTGGTGCCAGAGGGATCTGAGGCCAGCCCAGGTAGGTGTGTACAGAGGCAACAAGCGGGTCACCTAGTCGCCTCTGTCCAGGGAGGGGCGAGGACACAAAACAGGCCACTGGGCACAGGAAAACGTGCATCGGAGCTTCTACTGATGTGCATTTCTCATCTTAAATAAAAAATCAGCTTTACTAATGTACAGTAAGGGGACTGGCCTCCTCGGCTGGCCCGTGGTCACTTGCCACGTCATACAAGGTATTTCTAGGACTAGGGGCAGACAGAATGGGGGAGGGATGGCTAGTGACAGCGGGGATGAAAGGGGGAACACAAGTGTGACAGGCTCTGCCGTGACCTGGGGATGTAAATTAACCCGACTTTGCACTGGGGTCCAGAGCAACAGTGAGCCCAGCCCACAGCGATTCCTGTTGTGCATCCGGCAGACACAGGCCAGTGAGATGCACCTGAAGAAAGGGTCTGTAGCCAAAGTCTGTGGAAAGCTCTTGGAGATTCTCTATATAATGGTTCTCAGACTTTTGTCTCCTTTATAGTCTGACTGATGGCCCCAAAGAACTTTGGTTCATGATGGTTATATCTATCAACATCTACTGTACCAGAAATGAAAACTGAGAAATTATAAAAATATGTATTTAACAATTCATTTCAAAATAACAATAATAAACCCATCACAAGTTAACGTGAACGACAAATTTTTATGAAATTCTCTTATGTGCCTCTGCAGTTACTGTTGGGATATCAGATGTTATGCAGCCTCTAGAAAGCTCCAGTGGACACCTGCGAGAGTGAAAAAGTCATGTCTTAAAGCATTATAAACAGTTTGGACTTTACGGACCCCTGAAACAGCCTCAGAGAACCTCCAGGGGTCCCCATAGCACACCTTCAGAACTGTTAGACTGTGCACATAACATTATTTAAAATGAACAAGCTTGAGTAACCTGGTCTAAAGCTTCCATCTCCCCGAGTCGTTCATTTCCTATTAACCTGCGAGGTGTTAGAGAAAGACTGATCCTGGAGTAAAAGGAAACTCACCCCCGGAGGGAAGGAAGCAGAGCAGAAATGGGGGAAGAGTGGAGAGTGAACGAGTGTGCTTGCAAAAGCAAAGTCAGACCTCTAATTCTGTATTTGGAAAATATGAGTCTCAATAGAAACTACAGTCAATAAAGCTAGAGAAAATACTAGCTGCAAAAGTCCTTCTATCTTCTGCTTTCCTCAACTGGGGAGAAGACACCTTATTCGTCTTTACAGCCTGAGCTCACCGCGTGGCACACAGAAATGCTCAATAAATGCTTGCTGAGTTGAACTGAGGCCTTGGACACCAGTCAGCAGTCACTGAACACATTAGAGAGAGAGTGAAGAAATAGGATTTCTGGTGCTTTAACAGATACCAATCTTTACTTTCATTAGCAATTTTATGCGGTATACTTGAGTTTCCGAATTTCCAAAGCAATCTCTCAAATACACTGCCCTTTCTGGCTGCTATTCCACTTTCCTCCTTCTCTTCATGGCAAATCTCTCCAGTATGCTGCCTTTCCAGCTTCCCATTCTCAGGACTGGACTCGTGACCACCACTCTCTTCTGGTCACGTCCAACATCCTCCTTCTCGCGAGGTGGAACCAACTCGACGGCAACTACCGCCGCCACCCTAGTCCTCCTGCACTAAAGATCCACTGCAATGCTGTTCTGATGCTCGTCTTCAAGTACTACTGTCCAAGTACTACCCGAAGCGAAAACCCGAGCTCAAAGAGGCTGCATTCAGTTTAAACTAACCGTAGAAAACAGTCATTTTATCAAAAGCCAACAGTGTCCCCAGAGTAAAACGTTAGCATTTAATGTGACGAGTGTGTGAGTGGCAATGAAGGCTGAGGGGGAAGGAAGCTCCTAATTCCCTCTTCCCTCCAGCTCCCTGCTAGGGCGACTCAACCACCAAAATAATCTGGCTCAGAGGTGGAGTCTGCAGTTGAGTTCAGATAGAGATCAGACCTCAGGTTCCAAAAGAGCAGATAATGTGGGGCTGCACTGTCAGGTGCTCTGGCAAGGTGGAGACTGGAGAGAGGACCATCACCCCCCATCCATGTGGAATTGTAGGGGGCATGGCAAAAGCCAAGGGGGCTCACCAGGAGAGGAGAAAGAGGAGTGTCCCTGCCATTTGCCCTGTACAGTTCTGGGAAATTCCATATATTCACCCTGATGCCAGAAGTGAAGTGGAAAGTTACCGAACAAAGACAGCTCAACTTGAGAAGGGCTTCTTCTCCCAACATGCCTCAACAGAAAGGTCCCAACAGATCCCCAGCCCACATCACTGGAGAAAAGGCCTTATCTGCCACTTCCTGTATCGGTCAAAACACCCCAACACCCTGCTCCTCACGATGTTAAAGCATCCACAACCACTAAAGGAGCCGGCAAAAAAGACCCCAGGTCCTTTAAAGGAAGCGCCTGGAAGAAAGGAGACTGAGCCAAACGCCTACAGCTAGAGACAAAATAAAACTTCAAATAAAAATCTCACAACACACAACATGGAAGAATGTCACAGCCTGAAGTGGAGGAAAGAAGTCAGACACAAAATAATATATACTGTGGATTCCATTAATAGACTCTTTAAAAAACAGGCAAAAGGAATCTGTGGTCTCAATACAGCGGCTGCCTTGGGGAGAAGGGAAGAAGTGACTAGGGGGAGGTACAAGGAGACTTCTTGAGGTGCTGGTCACAGTCTATTTTTTGCCCTGGGTCATGGCAATGCAAATGTGTTTGTGATAATATACCAAGCTATACACTTATGATCTGGGCACTTTTTTCTGTATGTGTGCTATATTTCAAGAAAAATAGTTTGTTTTTTAAGAAGTTATTTTTTTTAAAGTTTCATTTTTTAAAAAATAATGAAAAGCCAACTGACAATGCCTAAAAAACTGAAAAATAAATAAGCCAGAATATATGCATATTTTTAAAGATATGGAAGTAAAACCAAAAACAGCAGTTTAAAAGATTAAAAGTGGTTGCTTTGGGAGATTAGGAAATGGGTGGGGGGTACAGAGGACTATGATATTTTCGAAACAAGCCTCAACTCTTTAAACTGTGCAATATACAATGTGAATAAAAATAATTAGATGAAAAGTTTTTCACCATCATATTGAAGACATCTGGCTACAGATGGCAGACTGATAACACATTTATCTATCCTCTCACCTGACAGCCCAATTTTGGAATAAGGACAGAATGACAAGTGACTGCAAACAATTTCTGGGTGATAAAAATCTGATGAAGGTGTAGTGGCACATGTAGCAGGGCACAGGAAGCTGAGCCCTGAGCGTGCTTGAAGAAGGGTACGATCCAGGAAAAAATTCAACTGTCCAGAAAAAATAACCTTGTGCATTTGGAAGGACCCAGTGTAACCACCAACTTTCCTCCCAACCACAACACAAAAGGCTAAGCCAGGCACTGGGCCACCCATCCCTCTACTCCTCTAGGTACAGAGAGCGCTCCATTTGCTTTTTAGTGCACCACTCTTGAACATATAAACAGAAAATCAAAGATCACTAGACATATGCGGAAAGCCTAAGATATTTTCCTACTACAGCCTTGTCCACGGATCTGTTGTGAAGGAAAAATACCAGCAATAATTAAGCTACTTCTTCAGTGTCTGAGTAGTGGTAGTTACCTATTAATGCCTACGTAAAAATCCCCGTTAAAACAGTCCCATCACAACTGATTCATCTCCCACGGACTTAAATATCATATGGCCCAAGCCCTCATTTTGCAGATGATGAAACTAAATAAAAAAGGGGAGGTGAAGCCACGTGTCCAAGCTCACTGAGCTGGTAAGTGTGCTGCCGCTGGAGGCTCAGCCTTCCATCTGTGCTCAGAGCAGGAGCTGGGACTCAGCTTTCCCACAGGCCTGCCCCATGTTCTCCATATGCATGTTTGTTGTGGTGAAAGCTAAAACCACGTTGTCAGCACGGATGACTAGGTATCTTAAAAATCTTTCTGAAACAAGACCAAAAATGACCATATACTCTAATAAAAAAAACCAAACCCATTGCCGTTGAGTCAATCCCGACTCACAGAAACCCTACAGGGCAGAGCAGAACAGAACTGCCCCCTAGGGTTTCCAAGGAGCAGCCTGGTGGATTCCAACTGCTGACCTTTTGGTTTGCAGTCAAGCTCTCAACCACTGCACCACCAGGGCTCCATACTCCAATAAAGTGTAAAATTATCCTCTGTATTAGAAAAATACGTAACTTTAAAAGCGCATAGAGTACTTTCCTGGAAAAAAAAATCACATCATTATTATATTTTATTAGTTACGACAAATCATTATGCTTTTTGCAGGGGGAGGGCAGAAATCATTGAAGTGTCTGACAAATTAAACCGACTTTTCCTAACAGAGAGTTGTAACCTCGGGTAACGCTGATGAATTCGCGACCCTGGTGTTCAGGCATGCTCCACAAAGCC